TAAGTAGACTTCTCTGGAGAGGATGATTCCCAGGCCTTTAAAGGCAATGTTCAGTTGCGGAAGGAAAGCGTGACTATATTTCTTCAAAAGAAAAATGGAAGGAAGGAAGGAAGGGGGAGATGGAAGGAGGAGAGAGACGTGAGAGCCCTAGCCAAGGTCCCTGTGCTCCCCAGGCCCCACGTGGGCCCCTCCCTTCTCCTCAAAGGCCACTTTGTTCTGCGATGAGACCTGCAGGCCTTTGTAGGTGCATTTATAGAAATTTATAAAAACATTCAATTGTACGATGCAGTTTACATTACAATGCACAAAAGAATGCCGCCTGTTTCTCCATGGGTCCGTGAAAACCCTAGGATGTTTTTTGACAAGGAGTTGCAGAGATTGCCTGTAGTTTCTGTAGAAGTAGGTGGGATACTCGCGTGATTTCTCCCTTGCTTTTTAAAAATGTATATGGCTCTAAGAATTTATTTCAGAGAGAGAGAGAGACATCAATGATGAGAGAGAATCACAGATCGGCTGCCTCCTGCACGCCCCACACTGGGGATCAAGTCCACAACCTGGGCCTGTGCCCCGACCGGGAATCGAACCGTGACCTCCTGGTCCATAGGTTGATGCTCTCCCACTGAGCCACGCCGGCCGGGCACCTTTCTCCCTTGCTTTTTTGGCCTAAACTTGAAAGGCCCTGGGTAAACACCAGTGCTGTGGATGGCAGGATACTGAGCTAAGGCCAGAAGGTTGGCATAAACTTGGAGAATTGTGATTTGCCCAGATCAATAAAATATGAAAGCACCCACTTTTACAGAAGGTCCCGCGCCATCCGAGCGCCTTCCTGGGGAGAGGCAGCCTTTCGTCGCCGATTCCCCGCAGCCACCTGCTCTCGCTCACTGTCCCCCAATGAGCGCAGACAAATGGCCGCCCAGAGACACATAACCTGGGGGAGAGAGCCGTAAAGCGCCCAGCTGTCACCGCATCCCGCCCAGACGGGGGCGGGGGCGGCATAAGCCCCGTCTTAAGGCGCAGCGCTGAGCGGCTGTCCCCCGGAGCCTGTCCTGCGGCTCCTCCCGCACGCGTGGATTCACCGTCCACCCACTCTGCTTCGCCCCGTCACACGGAGCATCATACTTTCATTTGCCCTGGACACAGGCGCCCACCCTTCACCCTCTGCCCCAAACCCGCCACCAGCTCTGCGCCCCAACGGGCGTTACGGAAGCCTGGGCTCACCCTTCCCAGGCTGAACCCACCGAGGCTTCCCAAGTGGCAGGTCTCTGAGCTTTAAAACATGTGCCCAGCCCGGCCGGCATGGCTCCGTGGCTGAGCGCCACTGATGAGCCAGAGGAGGTCAAGGTGTGATGCTCGGTCAGGGCACAGGCCCGGGTTGTGAGCTGTATGGCGTGCAGGGGGCAGCCCATCTGTGATTCTCTCTCATCGTGGATGTTTCTCTCTCTCCCCCTCTCCCTTCCTCTCTGAAATCAATAAAACTGTTTTTTATAAAAGTATGTATCAAGCCCTGGCCCATGTGGCTCGGTAGTTAGAGTGCTGGCCTGCGCACCGAGGGTCTCGGGTTCGGTTCCCAGTCAGGGCGCTTACCAGGCTCGGTCCTCTGGCCGCCCTCCTGCTCATCCGCCTGTCGTTGGAGAGCAAAGGGTGGTAAAGAGAGCAAGAGATGGCTCCCCAGAGGCAAACCCTCCCCAGGCCGCACCCTGCCCTCTGCACACAGGGCCGGATTGGATGGACCACAAACCTCCCACTATCGGGGGCCGGACAGACACCCCAGCACGCTTGGCTCCAGGCCCCCGGTCCCTCGAGGAGGCGCCAGCTGTGTGTCCCCCAGCCTTTGTGCCCAGGAGGGCTGTGTGCCCGGGAGAGCTGTGTCCCCGGGAGGGCTGTGTCCCCCAGCCTGTGTGCCCGGGAGGGCTGTGTCCCCGGGAGATCTGTGTGCCCGGGAGGGCTGTGTCCCCGGGAGGGCTGTGTCCCCGGGAGGGCTGTGTGTCCCCCAGCCTGTGTGCCCGGGAGGGCTGTGTGTCCCCCAGCCTGTGCCCTGGGGAGGGCTGTGTGTCCCCCAGCCTGTGTGCCCGGGAGGGCCGTGTGCCCGGGAGGGCTGGGTGCCTGGGAGAGCTGTGTGTCCCCCAGCCTGTGTGCCCGGGAGGGCTGTGTGTCCCCCAGCCTGTGCCCTGGGGAGGGCTGTGTGTCCCCCAGCCTGTGTGCCCGGGAGGGCCATGTGCCCGGGAGGGCTGTGTCCCCAGGAGGGCTGTGTGTCCCCCAGCCTGTGTCCCCGTGAGAGCTGTGTGCCCTGGAGGGCTGTGTGTCCCCCAGCCTGTGTGCCCGGGAGGGCTGCGGAGCGGGTGTGGGACCCCCCGGCGCCTGCGCCGCCCCCGCAGAGCGGAGCGGGAGCAGTTGTGGGCCCGGAGCCGCGGTGGCTAACAGCTGACTCAGGCTTCCTGGGTAGGAGAACTGGTCTGTTTTGTTTCACGTTGAAAAGAGCTGAATTGGCCGCAGCGATGCGTGTCCCCTGTGGCCGATGGCGCACGCGGGCAGCAATCAAACAGCGATGAAACAGCGATGGTAACAGGGCCACCCACGGCGGCCTCCCAACCACAGGAGGAGGCCCCTCTCACCAGCTCCCGGGTGATCCCGCCGCAGGGCAGAGCTTGGCGCCCCCCCCTTCAGTCCCAGCTTCCCCCCAGGCCTGCCTCCTGGAAGACCCAGCTCCAGGCCCCCGCCCACGTGCAGGCCTCGCCTGCTCCCCCAGCTCCCGGAGCGGCGTGTTCCGAAGCCTCCGGCTCTCCCGCACGCCCCTGCCTCCGGGCACCTGCCTCCCGCTCGCCCTCAGCTCCCCTGGGCATTGCTGACGGAGGGCGAGGGCCACTGCACGTGGAGCTGCGCAGGAGCCGGGCTGGGCCAGAGGCAGTCACTGGCAGCTCCCTGTCCTGGCCTCAGCCCCGCGAGCATCGCTGTGTGTGAGAAGCACTGATCAGCCCTCGCACCCCCAGGCTAGTTTGCTCCTGCCCACGTTCATCCCTCGCCGTGCACTGGGGGTCCCACCCCACTCCCCGCCTTTTCTCCCTGCCCCAGCGCCCGTGGGTGACAGCGTCGCAGCTCTTGCTGGGAAGACCCCAGTGCAGAGCTTTCCGGTCGCAGGGTCTGGGGAGTGCCGGGGCCCCAGGAAGCAGACTGGACGTCATTGGTTTGGAAGATTACTTTCAGCCAGGTCTGGGGTCCCTCTCTGTGAGCCATGGGCAGGTTTCCCTCGAGGTCTCCCCAGCGGAGCCGCCCGGAGCCTCGGGAAATGCTCGGCTGACTTTGACCGGCGTCCGAGTGTGGGCCCCGGGCTCCCAGCCAGCACCTCCAGGGCACGGCAGCTCCGTGACCCCTGTCCGGGCGGAGGGGAGGGGACTGACGGTGCCGGGATCAGGGGCGAACGGGGCTGACACAGGCGCTGGCCGCGCGGGCGGAGGCCTCGCTGGGAATAGCCCAGTTCCTGGTGTCCCGGCCGCGCTGCAGACGAGGCGCAGTCACTGTGGTTCCGGGGAGCCGAGGGCACAGCGACTCTTCCTGGATGAGCCCGGCTCCCAGGGGGCCGTGGGGACGCGGCCGCGGAGCCTCCGGCCGAACACATTGGTGGAAACGGGTTCGAGCTGGTGGTGGTCGGCGGGTGAGACTGATGCTAACAAGGCTGGCGTCCCGGCCCCCGCCCTCTGGAGTGATGACGTGGCTGGTTCCGCGTGGAGCCCCAGCCTCCCAGCACCTGGGGGCTCCCCCAGCGCCGGGTGAGGGCGTGAGAGTGCAGGTGGCTGTCCCTGCTGTGCTGGGACACTCTGTCCCCGTGACGCGGCCCGCGGTCACAGCCACACCCCAAGACCGGGCCGATTCTGCCTTTTGCGCAGCCTCGTCTGAGGAATGGCCCTGGTCCGAGGGCACAGGCCCCAGGCAGCTCCCCCTTCCTCAGTCCAGCCTCCACTCACAGCCACGGCCGCAGGGGCGGGCTGAGGAGACCAGGGCAGGGCCGAGTGTCGGGGTCGGCGGAAGGGCCGTGGTCGGAGCACAGCCCGGGGGTCTCCGCCCTGTGTGCAGGCCCCCAGCCTGACACGTCTCCGTCTCCAGCCCGTTTCCATAATAATATTATAGTAACAGTGAGGACCCCAGAGTGCCCTGGCTCAGGGCAGGGGAATCATGGGAACGGTGGCATCGAGGGGCCTCAGTGGCTTTTGTATGATCAGGAGTTTGACCCAGATCCTCGCTCCTCGCGGCCCGGCCTGTTATCACAGTTACTGATTGGCCTGTGGGGAGAGCAGCCGGGGGTGTGAGGCAGCGGTGCAGGCGCTGGGACCGGCAGCGAAAGAATTGCAGGCGGCGTTTCGGGGTGGGTTAATTTCCGACTGCATTTTAATGACCAGCAGAGAAGATAGGAAAAATGTCGTTTATAGAGGAACGCCAGCATCTTGCTTTCCTGGTTACTATCAGGGATCAAATGGCACATGCAATATGATTTTTCCCAAAGGCTTTTTGCTAAACATTGTAATCAGTCTTTCGTGCTACAGGCACGCATGGTTATGCGCACCTCGCACTCAAGATCTGTGTCAGGACAGGAGTCAGATGGGGAGAAACTCGGCTCTTTGCCCTCCTGACACCGAGGCAGGACACCTTTGCAAACTCCCTCCCAGGGATTTGCCCGTTCTGCTTTCTTTGACCAGTTTTTATCTTGAAAGTGGCTACTTTTCAGGCTCGGAGGTGGTATTGATGAGGACGGTGAGGGGCCTTTGGGGGGTCAGGATATGAGGGGCAGTTGTCAACCCACTGCCTCCACCTGCCTCTGTTCCACCACACAACCAGCCCCGGCTGCCCAGGGAGGTCAGGGGGCATGGCTCGGGCGAGGCAGGGAGGCCACCTCTGCTCAGCTCAGCCTGGGTCGGGGTGGGAGGGCCGTGGACCAGGGCCGCCTGCGGGGGTGAGGGCCCTCCCCCGAAGGCTCCTCCAGATCCTCCTCCTCCCAGTCTGCTGGCCCTTCACGCTCGGACTTTGTTCTCCTCTGCCAGGAGCATGGCGAACGCAGAGCCCGGCTTCTCAGCCAGGACTTCGGGCTTGTCAAACTCAACCACCTGCACGTCAGGGGAGGAGAGCTGCGCTTGTCAGCGACCGTCCCCCCCCCCCCTCCCGCCAAACCACCGAGGCCGGGGGAGGCCACGGCTGCCTCACCTTCCCGTTCTCCATGACCAGGACCAGGTCGCAGTTGAGGACCGTGTTGAGGCGGTGGGCGATGGTCAGCACCGTGCAGCCTTTGAAGGCGTCTTTGATGGTGCTCTGCACGAGGCTGTCAGTCTTGGAGTCCATGGAGGCCGTGGCTTCATCAAGGAGAATGATCTGTGGGGGGAGGAATGTGGTAAACAATAAGCCAAAGCTGTACCTAGAGGCAAATTCATAGTCTTAGCCCTATTGACTGATCCGTTGATTGATTGATTGATTGATTGATTGATTGATTGATTTAGAAGGGCTGAAAAGTAATGCACTACGTATCCATCTCAAAAAGGTTAGGAAAAGAACGGCAAAAATGAAAGTCACATCGCACCACCTTCTTCTTCAGAGGGACTGGCTGCGGAACAAGACTGCAGCCTTCCCTCCTCTTTGGGTTTATTCCAATCCTGCAAACTGGTAGGACGAAGCACCCAGGCCTTTCTCCCACGCTGACAGCGAGTCTGTGTGCAGCAGTTGTCTGAGCTTCCTGAACAACACTTACATGAGCTTCCTGCTCTTACACATTCACGCAAGTTCAGAGGCTGAACACACACAAATGGAAAGAAACCGGGCCCCGCGTCTCCAGCCTCGGGACGCAGCCCACGCTCCTTGGCCCGCAGCCATGTCCTGGCATCCTCCTCGCCTCCATGGTCAGAGCTGCTCTCCCGCCTCTCAGAAAGGCCGGGCCACCCGGGGGACCCGGGAGACCCTCGCGCCTCAAGACCCTCGACGAGTGGACTAGGCAGCGCCCTCTCCCAGGTGGGGTAACACACTTCGGGTGCCAGGGTCAGGGCGTGGGCCTCTTGGGGGGCCTGGGGCGTCCTTCTGCCTCCCACAGGGCCGCTCCGCCCGACCCTGGCTGGTCACTCCGCTTCCCCGGGCTCTGTTTCCTGGCTCGGCAGCCAGCACTGAGGGGCCGGCCCCTCCTGCCTTTAGCACAGCAGGGAGCCCCACTTTGCCCGGGTCAGAGAGGAGAAACGACGACGCCAGCCCCCTCCTTCAGCCCCAGCAGGGCCTTCCGCGTCCCTCCACAGAACAAGCAGGCATCTTGCCACTCTCAGACCTCCCGTCCTTGAGGGTCCCGGGCCCTGTGCACCCGCCCGGACATCAGAGACCAAGGGAAGGCGCCCAGAGGGCACCCTCTCAGACCCAGACGGCGGCAGCGGGGAGACAGAGCCTCCCAGAGCAGGTTCCCGGGGGGCGGCCCCGACCCCCAACCCCCGACCCCGACCCCGGGAGAGGCAGGTGCCCTTGTGGAGATGCTGCCGTGACTCAGTTCTTTCCTCTCTCGGCTTTGTTTTAAGAAAAGGGCTCAGTGGCTCTCCCGGCTGGAGGAGGGAGGAGGCACCCCCGCCCCCAGCCCCCGCCGGTGGAGGGCGCCGCGGGAGGTGCGTCCGGCCCGCCGCTCCCGGTCTGCCTACTTTGGAGTCTCGGAGCAGCGCCCGGGCCATGCAGAGCAGCTGCCGCTCCCCCACCGAGAAGTTCTCCCCGTTCTCGGCGACTTCGGCCTGCAGCCTGTCCGGGAGCCTCATTATCTGGAAAACACAGGCGAGGCCTCGTTGGCGCTGAAGATGCATAAGAGCATCCTGTGTCGTCTGTATCGATTGCCCCTCCTCCGCGCTCCTCCGCGGCCCTGTTTTACTGCGGGGAACAAAGCCAAGAACAACAGTGGCTTCGGGGGCGGGCGGGCGGGCGCCGATCATTTAGAATCGCGGCGTGAGGCCTGATTCCGCCTGAAGAATCCCGAGGAGGCCCGCGGGGGCCAGAGGAGCGCAGGCCGGTGTTGGTTCCTTCCAGGCTGGTTTCCGGGACGGAGCAGACACGGAGGTCCTGTGAGCTGCACAGGAGGCCAAACCCCGCGGGCGGGGCCAGCCCCAGGGCCCCCCCCAGCCTCCTGCCCACCGCCCCTGGAGATGCCACACCCTCTCCACCCGGCTCATTGCTTCCCAAGGCAGGTGAGGCTACGGGCCCAGCCGCGGGGCCCTCCCTCGGCTCTAAGGCAGGTGGACCCGGGTTCGAGGCTCCATTTTCCCACGCGCTAGCCTGCACCCGCCCTCTCCGAGGCTTCATTTCTGCTCCCTTAGAGGAGGGCGGCACCAGCCCGCGGGCGGCAGCCAGGCCCACAGGTGGCGGTCTCGGCTGCCTGCTGGCTGCGGAGACCTCACCTCGCCTGTGGTTGCTTTTCATCGTAGCATCCCACCAGGCTTGTGCCCCTCACAAGCGTGGGGCCAACGAATAAGCAGGCCGGGCGCCGGGGGCGCGGTGAACCAGACGCCCCTGCAGCCCAGCCTTACCGTGTCTCGCATGAACGCCCGCTCCAGCACCTGCCAGAGCTTCTCGTCCGTGTGGCTCTGGAAGGGGTCCAGGTTGAACCTGCGCGGGGACGAGAGGCAGCTGATGCCGAGAGGCCTGGGGAGCAGGCTTCGCAGCTCGGGGCGGGGGGGAGGGGGACAGGAGGCGGTGGGGGCTCCAGGGCAGGCTCACTTAGCCCCTCAGACACCAACCTCAGATCAAGAGACCAGGACCCACCGAGCCCACCAAGGGGTGTGCGAGCCGCGGGGCCCCAGCCCGAGGGATAAGGCTGTGTTATTGCTCCGCCCGGGCTCCTCGGAGTGGCATTGCTAACCCTGACGGGATGCTGAGCCGCAGGCGTGAGCCAGGGTTCTGTTCACCGCGTGAGAGCGGCCTGCTTGCTAGCGGGGGTCTGTAAACTACACGTCACGTCAGGGCCCCGGTTCTCGGCTCCTCCCAGGCCTCCCTGGGAGCCGGTGCCCGCCCCTGGGGAGCTGCTTCCCTCGGCCCGGCCGGGCCGGCCGCACCGTGAGCGCCTCCCACAGTTCCTTGCGGCCTGACTTCACTCTCCGGAAACAGGGCTGCACAGCGGTCCAACAGCTACCTTACTGTACCTACAAACAGCACGGGGTCCTGGGGGATGGCGGTCAGCTTGGTCCTCAGGTCCTGCAGCCCCACCGTGCAGATGTCCACCCCGTCGATGAGGATGGTGCCGCCCGCCGGCTCCACCAGGCGGAACAGGGCCATTCCCAGCGAGGACTTGCCTGGGGGCGGGGACGAGGCCACACATGGCGTTACGTACGCTCCCATCTGGGCGTCTTCTAAGCGGTGAACGCTCATGAGGATGTGCAGACAGAAACTGCCTGCACTGCTGGGGCCAGCGATACCCCAACACGACTAAGCACCCCAACACGGCTAACTGCCCCAACATGGCTAAGCATCCCAACATGGCTAAGCACCCCAACACGACTAACTGCCCCAACATGGCTAACTGCCCCAACACGGCTAAGCATCCCAACACGGCTAACTGCCCCAACACGGCTAAGCATCCCAACACGGCTAACTGCCCCAACATGGCTAAGCATCCCAACATGGCTAAGCACCCCAACACGGCTAACTGCCCCAACATGGCTAACTGCCCCAACACGGCTAAGCACCCCAACACGGCTAACTGCCCCAACATGGCTAACTGCCCCAACACGGCTAAGCACCCCAACACGACTAACTGCCCCAACATGGCTAACTGCCCCAACACGGCTAAGCATCCCAACACGGCTAACTGCCCCAACACGGCTAAGCATCCCAACACGGCTAACTGCCCCAACATGGCTAAGCATCCCAACATGGCTAAGTGCCCCGACATGGCTAACCAGCCCAAACATGGCTAATAACCACCCCAACATGGCTAATCACCCCAATACAGCTAACCCTAGCCCAACACAGCTAACCCTAACTCAACATGGCTCACACTAACCCAACACGGCAAATAACCACCCCAACATGGCTAATCACCCCAATACAGCCAACCCTAACCCAACATGGCTAACCCGCCCCAACACGGGTAAACCAACACGGCTAACGCCCCTGCCGCAGTGCTGTGCGCACGGCTCATCCTCTGGGTCTCGTTTCTCCCGAAAGGCCCTCACGTAATGAACTCAAAAACGGGGGTGTGTTCGCTTCCATCGCTGCACACCCGTGCGGCCTGAACCCGGGATCCTCAGCGCAGACGTGAGGGGGAAGCATGGCGGCCGCGGCCGGAGCGCCGCCGAGTGCTGCCGCGTGACGGCCCCGGAGGCTGTGCGGGGCCTGGGAGCGTGGGGGGGGGGGGGTCCTCACCGGAGCCTGTTCTCCCCACGATGCCCACCGTCTGCCCGCTCTGGATGTGCAGGCTCAGCCCCTGGAGGACGAGGGGCGTGCCGTCCCTGTATCTCATCCCGTAGTCTCGGAACGTGATCTCCCCGCGGCTGGGCCAGTCCTGCGGGCAGGGCGCCGCCGGGAGGGGCTGGGCGCTCTCGGGAGTGCAGGCCTGCAGAGCAGAGGGGCGTGATGGCCAACGCGCGCCTTCGCTTTTCCATCCGTTCGTCCGTTCGCACGGTTCCAGGTACGAGAGTTCACGGCCGACCCGGTCAGTAAGGACCCGGCACTCACGAAGCTCGCGTGCCCGTGGGAACGAGGGGGTGGGGGAGCAAAGACGGCAGGGAGACAACACAGCAGAGGCGTGCGATAGAACGGAGGGTGCCTGTGCGCAGCGGGGAGGGAGGAGGCGGGCCTGAGACCAGGGAGGCTGAGGAGGTGCCGCCACACGGGGATTTGAGAGGGTCGCCAGGGCAGAGGCCCCGAGGCCAGAGCTAGCTGGGGCGCGGGAGGCAGAGAAAGAACCCAGTGGCTGGGCGTGGAGAGTAGAGATGGAGGACTGCGGGGACAGCCGGGGCCTGCGGACCGGGGCACGTGTCCGCAGCGCGCCCTCGCGGCCTGGAAGCCGTGCAACCCGGGGACGGGCGTCTGCGAGTCACCACGGGGCGGGAGCAGGCAGAGGCAGGGTGCAGCGTGCCGGTTCAGGGCCTTTAGGGCCCGTGGAAAGGACGGTTACGTTTCCAAAGAGCCAGGAAATGGGATGTGATATTAGGGACAGAGTGGCCCGCCCCCGAAGGTAAGAAGTTCCCATGGGGCAGAGAAACAGGGGGTGGCGGGCCAGCCACATTCCTGTCCACAGCAACCCCAGTTAGCCAAGGAAGCGGGCGAGTGTTTGGAACCCACGGAAGGCCCAGAGTCCTCTCTAATAAAAGGCCAATATGCAAACAGACCGGACGGCGGAACAACCGGTCGCTATGATGGGCACTGACCACCAGGGGGCAAATGCTCAGCACAGGAGGTGTCATTCGGGCTCCCAGACTGCGAGAGGGCACAGACTGGGCTGAGGGACCCCGCCCCCCCCCACCACCTCCAGTGCACTGGGCCTCTAGTTAACAACAAAGGTATTTGAGAGAAGCAACAGGGTCACAGTAATATTTTCAGTTTAAGGAATCTGGATATTTGGCGTTTTAAGGTTTCATAATATTAGTAACATCTGGACTGGTGACTCTAACTTAAAATCATAATGGAATAACTTACTTAAACGTGATTTTAAGTTTATATGTGACATGGCATTGGGATTGTTAGGCAACGTCAAAGCTGTGAGTTACTTAAACCTACAATTATTAGCTGTAACCGCAGGGGGGGGGGTGTTTGTTAAATGGGATAGATGAGGTTCTTAAAAAGGAGAGGTAATCAATTAAATTTTAAAATGCAGTTTTTAAGTAATTAAGTTTGTAAAAGGGCCAAATGCTGTTGAAAGGCCTTTTAAAAGGATTGCTAGAATTAACTAGCCTTCCGTTCATTTGAAAGTTGGACATAAAAGTGTTACAAGAGTTAGGCCACGATTGGCCACCTGCTTCTCTCTCCTGCTACGGAAACAGCCCTGAGCAAGCTGCTTTCCAAAACAACCTCTCTCTCAACACCACGGGCCTCAGGTTGGTGCAAACATGGGTTTTGAGGGGAGAGATCGTGGTCTGAGTTCTGTTTTTAAAAAGTTCCCTTCGCGTGTAAAAGATGAGATGAGCCCACGAATTCTGCCGGTTAGCCCGTCCGCTGGCTCTTACCGAGATGTAGGCCCGGAGCATCTCCACGGAGGTGAACTTGGCCTGGGTCTCGGTCCCCGTGCGCACGCACACCTGCAGCAGCCCGCTGAGCTGAGGAGAGCAGGCACGTCAGGGCCCAGCGGAACCTCCCCCACTTCCCCCTCCCCGCACCTCACACACAGCGGCCTGGGCCCCAGCCAGTGCCAGCAGGGAGGCTCCGGTGTGGTGTGGGTGGGTGTGTCTGCAAACACTTCCTCTGTTTAGAGACGTGGTGCTGCTGTTTCCTGGCCTCCAGATGGTGACAGCCGTCCACCCACCCCCCCACCCCCCGCCTTCCACCTGATCCCGCCTCCTGGTGGGAGCAGCGGCTGTGGGCCGGGTTCCCAGCCTGCAGGCGGCCAGCCACAGGCCCCTAGCCGCCCGGGGGGTCCTGCACCTGCCTGCCCTCCCTGCCTTACCCACCGCAGCCCGGAGGCATCACGGGGATCAGAGGTGGAAGGGGCACCGAGCCCAGCTGCTTGCTTCCCCGCGTGAGAGAATCTAGGCCCAGACTGGGGTGTGGCTTCATGAGGTCGCCCACAGGCACCTGCCCACCCCGCCCGTCCTGACGCCTGCACAGGCGCCCTCAGGACGAACGGACTTCCCGGTGCCTGCCAGCCCCTGGGGCGTTCCCAGCCCCTCCCTGCCCCTGCCCCTGTCTGCCCTGCTGGCTCTTCATCACCTCTGGCAGGTCTCTATCAGGTCCAGTGTCACTCCCCTGCCGACAGCCACGTCACCCCCCTTTGTCGTCCGCGTAACGCAGAGCCTTTCCCAGTCTCCGCACTCGTGGACTCGGGCCCTCCTCATGCCCCCCACGCGGTACCCTCTAGAGCCAACGGGGATACAGGCTCCCGGAGGGCGGGGTCACTGCCGTGCACTCGGGGGGGAGGAGGGGGGCCTGGGGGTGGCCGTGAACCTGACCTCGGGAGGGCATCTGCACACTGAAGCTCAGGGCCATCGCTCCTGAGGCCTCGGCCGCCCTCCGCGGGTCTGGAATGGCCCCAGCGGGCTTCCCTCCGCGACCTTAGTGGATGCTCCTTTCCATCCTCTCTCCCCAGCACGGACGCCACCCCAGGGTCCCACCCATCGGGGAGCCTCTCGGTTCCCGGGGGACGCTCTGCGGTTGGGGTTCCGTGTTCTCCGAAGGGGGCTGCGCCCCATAAGCATCCCGGGATCTCGGTGTGCGCACAGCCCGCCCCGAGTGTTTGCGGACAGTCTCTGGGGACGCTGCTCCTGCGGGAGTGAGGACATGGTGCAGCGTCACCTGTTTCGTGATTTACTGTGAATGCCAGCATCCTTTTCCCCACGTGAGAGCGTGTCCTGAGGATATGTTTCTGTTCCTCCTTCCCAAACACCATTAGGGGACACCGGTACCCCAGAAAGAAGGCGTTTCACAGCCAGGGGAGGTGTCACTGCGCGACGGAGCTTCCGGGAGCTGGCCCGCGCCCGAGCTGTGCGGAGCGAGGCAGAGCGTCCTGCGGGGCTCAGGGGCCACGGCCTCGCAGAACTGGGGGCCCCTCGCAGAAACAGGGGGGCCCCTCGCAGAAACAGGGGGGCCCCTCGCAGAAACAGGGGGGCCCCTCGCAGAACTGGGGGCTCCGGTGGAGAAGGACCACAAAGAGGCCAAGGAGCAGCCTGTCTGCAGACAAGGCTCCTCGGGACTCGTCACCTCTCCTTCCTGCTGAGCCCCGACCAGAGGGAGGCGGGACACACACACTCTCTAAAGACATCGCTCGGACCCCTGGGAGGGAGGGGGGCTCCTGAGCAGCGCCCTGGATAGAGCCCTTTAGAACCTAGCGTTCGGGGGTGGCTGCCTCGCCAGCATTCTCCTCCGGCTCCTCATGCGGGCAACTCCGTGCCCCGGGGGCCAGGGGGTGTGTGACTTCACCTCTGGGCCTAAACCCAGGACCCCGATCCCACCCAGCTGCTCGTCGGTTCCGGGGCGCCGACATGAGCCGTGAACCGAGGCAGAGAATGCTTGCTGGTCACCACGGCCATGACCACGGGCGCCCATTCGCGTCTGAGGCCCACTCCTGCCTGGGCCGCCAGGCCTTCCACGACGGGGGCCGCCAAGCTCTCTCTGCTGTCCGACCCACGGGGCCGCCCTCCCTCCCGCGCGCTGGGGGAGCCTGCAGGCCGAGCCGTCCCCGCGCGGCGGTACCTGGATGATGTAGGACAGGGACAGGCCTTTGGAGGAGGTGCTGACCGAGAAGAAGCTCAGCGTCACCATCAGGGCCACCAGGAAGGTGGCGATGTTCATGAGGACGTCCATGCGCAGGGCGAACCAGCGCAGGGCGCAGTTGAAGTACAGGAGGTGGCTGGAGTTCTCGTCGTTGAGCATCTTGAACCTGGAACGGAGAGCGGGCGGGCGGGGTCAGCGGGGGCCGTGGACCGGGCCCCGGGCTCCGGAGGGAGCAGGCCAGGGCCGTCTGAAGGGCGAACGCGCTCGTACAGAAACCAACGTCCGTCCGTGCTCCTGGAAACCTGCTGCCGCAGACACCCGAGAGGGAGGGCGAGGGTGCGCGAGAGAGCGGACCAGGTGCTTCCCACCTGCCCTTCCTCCCCCTCCTCCCACCCCCCAGCCCGGACACCTGCACTCAGCACAGGCTGACCTTGCCCAGCCCGGGGAGAGGGGCTGTGCCCTCCATACACTCAGGATGGACATTTTAACTGACTGAGCTAGCCCGTAACCAAGAGGGACACGGGGTCCAGTTGCTACGGAAGCTTCCCTGACTGGGAACAGCTGGTAGAGACTATTGCGGGGGAGTGAAAGCCTTCCGACACTTAACCCCAGAGAGCTCCAGTCCCCCCCCCCCCCCTGCGGCTCGGCCACCACCGTCCTGGGGCCCCCTGCTCCCTCCCGCTGCTCAGAGGCTCTCTTCCGAGGCCCCTCCTCCCGCCGGTCCCCAGAGCCTGGGCCAGGTGTCCTTGCAGACACCACGGTGCTTCTGTGGTGTCGCCACACGACCTACAAACTCCACCGACGGCTTCCGGGACTCGGCAGCCATCCGGGGCCTCGCTGTGAGGGTGGGTGGGTCGGGCGGACGCAGAATCCCTGGCAGGGATCCCCGTGGGATCTGACCCCACGCCTCTAGCTCACGCTAGCGTTTTTGTCTGTTGGCGGGAGCAGTGCCTCTAGCAGACAGCGCTCCCGGAAGCCCAGGACGGGCCAGAGCAGTGCCTCTAGCAGACAGCGCTCCCGGAAGCCCAGGACGGGCCAGAGGTGGTGGAAGAGGGGAGAGGCGTCCCTCGCGCAGGGCTCGCCGCCGGGAGCCTCGTGGAGGCCTGGGGGAGGCAGGGCGGGCTGCCCCGTCTGCCGGGATCGGGGAGCGGCCGCTGTGTGGCCCGGGGCTGCTGACACGTGGCTTTCAGACAGAGCGGTGACAGGACCGGCTGAGGACTGAACCAAAGGACGCCGAGCCCGTGGAGAGCCCGGTGGCCAAGGGCAGAGAGAGAAAGAATGAGATGCCAACGTTGAAGTGTGCGCAGGTCTGCAGGGGAGGAAGAGCTAGGAGACGGACACTCTCGTCACTCCAGGATCTAGTGAGGAGCACGGAAGGCCCTCGGTGCGTGTCGGGTGAGTAAAGGAGAGAGGAGGCTGCCGGAGACCTGCGAGTGTGCGACGGAGGCCGCTTGACCAAGGACCCTGGTCTGTCCACTCGGTGGCCTTGACGAGGACTGTGCAATAACCCAGAGATGCTGTTTGAAAGTAAAGCTGGACAACCGTGGTCGTAAGCATTCCAGAGAGGGGCGGGGGGGGGGAGACTGGAAGGAAATCTGCAACAATATTAATAGGATGTGGGTTGTGGGGGCCTGTGCGTGCCTTTTTGCTTTTCTGTTTCCTGTTGTCTCCTGCTTCCCTAGCTTGAACACGTTTTGCTGGTAGTGGGGGAAGCCGCGTCAGCCCACGCTGAGGGCTCACTGAAGGGGCTCGCGTCGCCGGGCCCCAGACGCCGGGGAGAAAGGCGGGTAGGCGAGGGCTGCTCCTGCCTCGGCCAGCCCCCCCCCTGCCCCCCGGGTCTCACTTGGTGATGCACAGCTCCTGCCGGTCGTAGGCGTGGATGACGCCCAGGCCCTGCATGGACGAGGTGATGTGTGAGAACCAGGGCGAGCGGCTCGCGTTCTCCACCTTCTTGAGCTCCTGGACACCTCTGTAGAAGATGCTGCAGGAGAGCGAGAGGGCGGCAGGCCGGGCTCAGGCCCCGTGTGCTGAGGGGCGTCCTGGGTGTGCGTGTGCGTGTGTGTGCGTGTGTGTGTGTGCGTGTGTGTGTGTGTCCGGGCCGGGCGGGGGTGGGGGGAGGTTGGATCTGGGAAGGGTGGTCCAGAACTGAGAGCCGTTGCCCGTGGTCTCAGTTCTGCGTGCTCCTCCATGGGAGGACGGCCCACGACTGAGCCACACCGGCCGGGCAGGAGCCGACTTTACCACCGAACCCTCCACGGGGCGCTGCTGCCCCGGGCGTGGGGCCCCAGGACACAGCCCGCGGTGCCGCCTGCGAGGCCGGCCCCCGGGCAGCGGGACCAGCTGGGCGGTCGCGTGCTCCTCCTCGTCCCCGGCCGCCACCTACCAGAGCAGCACCAGGAAGGCCACGGCGAGGCCGGCCAGCACCAGGAGGACGGCGGGGAACACGGCGGCCAGGACCACGAGGATGAAGGCCACGAGGATGACCTGCTGCAGGAAGCTCTCCGTGTGGAAGGGCAGCCGCACGTCCAGCTCGTCCATGTCCTTGGAGAACTGGTTCATGAGCCGGCCGCTGGGCGTCATGTCGAAGAAGCTCATGGGGCTCTGGGAGATCTGCGGGCACCGCGGCGCCGAGTCCGGGGCTCAGGGGGCGCGCCGGGCACCCCTCGCCCCCTGCTGGGCTGGGGTGGCGAGTGCGGGGCCCCACCCTCCTTCCAGGGCCCACGAGAGGCGCCAGGGTGCCGGGCAGGTGAGGGAGCCCCCTCTGTGGCCTCCGTGTGCACGCAGCTCCCTTCCAGACCCGCGCAGCCTGGGGCCCCTTCGGAGGAGAAGGAGGAGGGAGCTGTGCCCGAGATGGGCTGCCCCTGTGCCCCGGCCAGGCCCTTCGGGGGGCCCTGGATGGAGCGGGCTCTTTGGAGCAGGAGGTGCCCTCTTGGCCTGCTCCTGTCGGCTCCGGGGCAGAGGAACTGCCCTGGGCACCCCCAGCCGGGTCCGAGGGCCCACGTCCCCCCACCCTGTTCCCTGGAGCCCGCTCCCCTGCGGCGATGAGATCCTGGGGCGCCTTGGTCGGTTCCTGCGGGCGCGGGGCGCCCCGGCGGCTGCCCCGGCGTCACGGCGGCCCGCGCACCTTGTCGAACACGCGGTCGAGCAGCAGGGAGGACGCCATCAGGGTGGTCTTGGTGAAGGCGAAGCCCTTGATGACGCCGAACGCCAGCACGGACACCATGCTGCCCGTGTACGCCCACAAGTACACGCCGTCCCCCATGTCCGCCAGCACCTCGCCGATCTCGCATGGGCCGTCGCCGCTCTGCGGCCCGCAGGTCATCTTGGGAAGAAGCAAGAGAAAAATCGCCGCGAATTGCTGAGCGGCCTGGGGGGGGGGGGGGGGGGCGCGTGGCAGAAAGAGGGGAGGAAAGAGGCTGTCGTTGTGCAGAATGAGTCGGTGAAACGAGGCAGTGCCCTTCGGGGCTGCTGACTTAGGAGGCACGGGAGACAATGAGGCGGGCGCGAGGCAGCTGTCCCAGGGGCCAGCTGAGCCTCCGGACGCTGGAGGTGACACCAGGCGACACAGGAGGGGGACAGGAGCGGGGACATGTGCTCCGCCCGGCAGCTGTCCGGCAGGAGCCAGCAGGCCTGGGAGGCCCTGGCCTGGGAGGCGGGGCCTCGGTGTGGTAGCCCGGCCAGGCCCCTCCCTCCCCGGTGCTCCGGCCTCGGTCCCGCAGTCCCCGGGGAGGCGGGTGGGGGGGGGGGGAAGCCTGCTGGGCCGAGGGCTCTGGGCGGCCAGGGGGCCCGCGTGGCTCCATCCGCCGGGGAGAGCCCCACGGTTGCAGCAGTTCCGGGAGAGATGGTCCGTCTCCCTCGGAGACACCGGCCGTCGGCTTCCCTGTGAGCCGCGTGCAAAAGGCGAGCTTGTGTTTGAGGAGCCAATGGGGCTTCTTTCTCCAAACGCCGCTCCGCTGGGGACGGCACCCCGGGGTGCAAGCCGGAGGTGGCCGGCCGGACACCTCTAAACGCCGGTGCGTCCCCGGGGCTGACAAAGGAGAGGCCTGGCGGTGCCTCCGCTGCCTGCTCCACCCGCCACGGGCCCTGCCCGGGAGGAGCCTGCCCCTGACCAGACCCAGGCTGTCCGGGGAGGGGCTCTGCTGCAGGGCCGGCTCTCCAGCAGCTCCGAGCGCCCTCCCGTCCCCCTCCCGCTGCTCCCCGGAGAACAGCCGCCTCCAGGGGCTGCAACGCCTCTCTCTGCCACATCCCCCAGTGCCTCCTCTCTGGTTGTCACGGCAACAGGACTGTGCCCAGATGTAACCTTGGCAGATGGGCAGGCAACCCCATGGCGCTCCCCGGGCTCCGGAGAGAGCTGGCCAACCGTGGGCGGGCTGGAGCGAGAGCGGGCGGATCCGTCCTTCCCCGGAGGGCCCGGCCCAGGCGAGGGCCTCGGGCAGAGACCCAACCCTGCCCCCCGCGGCCTGCGCACAGCCAGGTGGGCTTTGGGGAGCAGAGCCGTGGAGCTGGAGCCCTCTGCGCGGGGCGGGGTCCGCCACACGTTGCCGGTTCCCCTTCAGAGGCAGGAAGACTCCCCCCTGCGCCCTCCGCCTCTCCTCGCGGCCCTTACAGCTGAGGCTGCAGAGCGGCCCTGTCCCGCTCCTTCGTGACCCACGGGCCCGCTGGGTCTGCCTGGCACACCCCCGCGGCCCTAGCCGGTGTGGCTCAGTGGATAGAATGTCGGCCTGCAGAGTGAAGGGCCCCCGATTCTATTCTGCTCAAGGGCACGGGCTTGGGTGTGGGCTCGATTCCAGCGGGAGGCATGCAGGAGGCAGCGGATCAGTGATTCTCTCTCGTCATTGGTGTTTCTCTCCCTCCCTCACCCTTCCTCCAGAAATCAATAAAAATGTATAATTTTTAAAAGCTGGAAGTGGCACACGGAACCCGATGCCGTGTGTCTTGACCAGCGGAAGGGGCTGCAGGCTCTGAACCGCGTGGGGTGAGCTGGGGCCACAGGGGAGGGGGAGCTTGTGGGGCGTCGGGTGGGGTCAGGCTCCCGGGAGCCGGTGCCCGAGGGCCGCTCACCTCGGAGGCCCTGTCCAGCCAGAAGCTCAGCCACCAGTTGCTGAAGGCGGTGCTGCCGATCACGAGCAGGAAGAGTGTCACGATGAGGAGGGAGAGGAGGTAGCCTGCGAGGGACGGACGGAGAGGCCGGTGCAGGGCGCAGCGGCGGCTCCCGGGGCCCGGCCCGCTGGGGAGGGACCTGCAGGGGAGCCCCCCCCCCTCGGAGCCGCCCTCCGGGCTGGCGGGACGGGGCTGGGGTTGGGCCCCAAAGCCCACGTGGGGTGCCTGTCCGCCCGGCTGAGAAGGAGGTCCAAGGTGTCAACGTGGGGGAAAGCAGCAGGGCCCCCTGAGTCAGGAGTGACTGCGACTTCCTCGGGAGCCACGGGCCGCGCCCAGGCGTGCTGGGAGGGAAGGGGAGTGCCTGGAGGTGAGCTCTGCACCCCGAGCTGCTGGGGGCAGTGCTCCCAGACGGACAGGAGGCATGGAGGCCCTCCCTCATTTCCTTCCCACACACAGCCCAGCAGCCTAGGGGCCGTGGGAAAGGCCGTATCTTTTGACTTTAGATTCTCGGGGGGCAGGTGGGGGGGGGGCTTTGCTAAACGGTTCGCCGAGAGAGACGCGTTGTTAGAGAAATCGTAAACACGGGCGCCCAGGCGTCTGAGGAGGACGGGCGTTCAGGTGCAGAGTCCGGGGAGAAATCCGTTTGCTGCCGAACCTCCGGCCGCCTTAATGTACGTGTGGTAGGTCCTCCAGGTCACGCCTCCTTCCTGGGGCAACTGGTCCTGGCCGAGCTGGTGCAGAGGGGCTGTGGGGACAAACACCAGTCCTGGGCTCCCCTGGGGGAGAGGGACCCCCCCATTCCCCAGGCCCCCCCCAGGGCAGGCTCAGTCCTTCCCGCCCTTCCCCCCCCCTCCCCCCCCCCCCCCCCCCCCCCCCCGCGCCTTCAAATCCCCAGCACTCTCTGGCTCCTTTGATTTTGTTTGGCCCGCGGGACAGTGGGAGGCAGGTGGCGCCTGAGAGCTATTCACTGAGCACCTGCTGTGCGCTCAGCCCTGGGAGGCAGGGGGGAGGCTCCGAAGGCTGCAGCTCCTGCAGGAGCTGGAGGGCCTGGGGGCAGGAGGAGGCGCAGGGAGGCATGCGCAGGCCCAGCTGACTGGGTCCCCATGGAGAATCCCGAGACAGGGCAGGCCCCACAGCCCAGAGGCGAGCCGTGTGACCCGGGGTTCAGGCTCGACCCCCAGTGCGGGGCGTGCAGGAGGCAGCCAGTCGATGATTCTCTCTCATCGCGGGTGTTCCTATGTCTGTGTCACTCTCCCTTCCTCTCCGAACTCAATGGGAAAACATTTTTACAAAAAATGTTGCAAAAGCCCATGAGATTGTGCCGGGACTGGTTTGGCTCCGTGGATAGAGCGTCGGCTTGGGGACTGAAGGATCCCAGGTTCGATTCCGGTCAAGGGCATGTACCTTGGTTACGGGCACATCCCCAGTAGGGGGTGTGCAAGAGGCAGCTGATCGATGACTCTCTCTCATCGATGTTTCTAACTATCTCTCTCCCTCCCTCTCTGTATAAAAATCAATAATATATATATATATATATATATATATATATATATATATTTTTTTTTTAAAAAAAAAAAAAAAAACCACGAGATTGGTGTCATTGCCCCATTTTACAGGTTGATAAACTAAGGTCCACAGGAGGCAAGTTGTCTGGCTCCACGTCAGAAAACTAGTAGGTGGCTGGGCCAGGGTCGGACTCAGGCAGCTGCCCCCGAGGCTCATGGAATCGATCCGTAAACCGTGGAATTGGTCGCCCCAAAGACACGCACCGCGCGTGTCCTTCTCTGTCCGAGCGGTGGGAGCGCAGCCAGCACGGCGGCGCGCAGAGCTGGGGGAGTAGGTGGCACGCACCTGGCATGTCTATGAATTCCGAGTCTCTGTCGGAATCTTTTCCTTCCTCTTTCTCACCGGGAGCCAGAGCTAGTGTGAGAAAGGGAGAGTCTGTGTCCCCTGAGCCGCAGGTGCCACCAGGCGTGACTCCAGCTGGGCTCGGACCCGCACCTTCGTCTCTGTCCGCGGGGCCCTCTGGCAGGGCCTCCACCAGCGCCGCGTTGTAGATGTGCTCGGGGTCCTGGGGAGGAACAGTGCCTGCTGCAGGCGCAGCCGGGACCCGGGGAGGCGATCCCGCCCAGACCCAGGCCCCTCAGACCCCAGGTTCCAGGCTTTCAGGCCCCCAGCCTCCAGACCCCGGCCTCCAGACCCCAGGCTCCAGCCCCCAGGCCCCTCAGACCCCAGGCCCCCAGCCCCCGGTTCCAGGCCCCCAGGCCCCCAGCCTCCAGACCCCAGACCCCGACCCCAGGCTCCAGACCCCAGGCCTCCAGCCCCCAGGCCCCAGCCCCCGGTTCCAGGCCCCCAGGCCCCCAGCCTCCAGGCCCCCAGCCTCCAGATCCCGGCCCCCAGGCCCCCAGCCTCCAGACCCCAGGCCTCCAGCCCCCACGCCCCAGCCCCCGGTTCCAGGCCCCCAGGCCTCCAGCCTCCAGACCCCGGCCCCCAGGCCCCTCAGACTCCAGGTCCCAGGCCCCCAGCTGCCCAGGCCCCCAGGCCCCAGACCCCAGACCTAGCCCCCAGTTCCCAGACCCCAGGTCCCCCAGACCCCAGACCCCGGCCCCCAGCCCCCAGGCTCCAGCCCCAGCCCCCAGCCCCCAGGCCCCGGCCCCCAGACCCCAGACCCCCACGCACGCTCGCACGCCGCCACCTTGAACTGCAGCCCCCGGAGGTTGTGCACCAGCTTCGCATAGCGCCCTCTCTTCTCCATTAGCTCTTCGTGGGTCCCCTTCTCACAGATCTCCCCGAACTCCAGCAGAATGACCTCATCACAGGACTCCAGGAGCTGCGGGGGGGGGGGGGGGGGGCGCCGCCGTGAGCGCCTGCCGCCTGAGGGGGCCACGGGCTGCGGGCACAGTGTCCCCTGGCCCCGCTGCCGCCCTGACTGCCGCACGGGCCGCCCGGGGCCGGGGAGGAGGCGGCAGCGCGGAGTCCTGCGCCCGTCACCTGCAGCTGGTGCGTCACCAGCACCACCGTCTTGCCCCGCAGCGCCTTCCGGATGCACTCCTGGAAGATGTGCCGCCCCACGTGGGCGTCCACGGCCGACAGCGGGTCGTCCAGCAGGTAGGTCTCGCGGTCCGAGTAGACGGCGCGGGCCAGGCTGATCCTCTGCCTCTGCCCGCCCGAGAGGTTGAGGCCCCGCTCCCCGATCTGCGGACGGGGCAGCGTGCCTGCTCGTCACCGCAGGGATCCCGACAGCACCCATGCGCCGGGGTGCTGGGAGCCTGCGGGCAGAGGGGACTGGGGCGCAGCTCTTCCCAGCACTGAGGGAGGGGCGCCTGGCTCACCATCCCAGGTGCGGTCCCATGGGGGGGCCGGGAGAGTGGAGGGCAGAAAGCTCGGGGAGGGGGCAGGCTCCCCAGAGGGGGCGTGGCTGGCGCAGAGGGACCAGCTTGGGGCAGTGCCTGGAGGGGACCTGGTACTCCTGGGCCTCAGAGGCAGAGAGGGGCCCTCGGACCAGCCACAAACCAGCACCTGGACCCCCGTCCGCAGAGGATGAGCCACCCTGGAGGCCAGCAGGCAGCGTGGGCCAGAAACCCTCCCGATGGGAAGGGTTGGTGCCACGTCCGCTGTGCCGTCCCCGAGCACAGTCCGAGACGGCGGGACCTGCCTTTCCCACAGGTCCCGGCACCGTCTGGCCCGGGCGTCGGTGCGGAGGGAGCCGGGCTGCCCTGGGGCCCCGGGCCGTCGGGCGATGCTGCTGTGGGGCCCAGCCCGCTCCACGCACCTCCGTCAGGTCCCCGTAAGGCAGGCTGCGCAGGTCCTCCTGGAGGGCGCAGACGCGCACCGCGTGCTGGTACCTGTGGGCGTGAGGGTCAGAGGTCAGCGCGGAGAGGGGGAGGGGGGCCGCCGCCCGGGCTGTGCCCCGGACCCGGACGCCGCCCGCCTGCCCTGCGCTGGCGCTACCTTTGGTGGTCGTACTTGGCTCCGAACAGGATGTTCTCCCGCACGCTCCCGTGGAAGATCCACGCCTGCTGGGACACGTAGGCCAGGGTCCCGCTGACCGCCACCACCCCGTGCTGCAGCTGCATCTGCAGGCACAGAACCAGGACCCTCAGAGCGGACGGCGGTTCCGGCTGCGGCTGCCAAGCACCTGAGCCTCACCGACACGATCATGACCTCGGTGCCGGCTGCGGGGGCCGCCGCTCTCATGGACCCAGCACACGGCAGCAGCCCTGACATCCAGGGTCCACCCTCCCGGCGCCCCGCACCTCACCTGGCCCAGCAGAGCTGCGATGAGGGAGCTCTTGCCGCTTCCAATGTTCCCGCAAATCCCCAGGACCTTCCCCTGCGGAGAAACAGGAAGGAGACTGACGTCCCCCAGTCCTCACAGGGTCTGGGACCACGGTGCCGCCCCCCACCGTGCAGCGGGGACCATGGCGGCTCCCAGGAGTGGCGGGGTAACCTCAGACCCGGCCGGACTCAGCGGGCGGAGGCAGGGCCCGATGGTAGTGCAGCGCCTCCCCTCGGGCCCTGCGGGGCGCCTGGAGGGCCCGGAGGTGTCCGCTGCGGGCACTGGAGTGGAGCAGCCTCGCCCAGGCCGGACACACGCCCTGGACGCGCGGCTGGGCCTGCGCCCGAGCTCGTTGGGCTGGACGGAGCCCCAGGCGCCTCCCCGTTACCTTCCTCCCCGCCTTCGGAGGAAGCCAGGAGGCCTGGGCTTCTGATGACTCGCTTGTTTAAAATTAAATTAAATTAAAAAATTAAATATAAAATTAAAATTAAAAAATAAAATAAAATAAAAATAAATAAATAAATACAATAAATAAAATTAAATAAAATAAAATAGAGACTCTGTCCTGTGAGCGGCGGGCGGGCAGCAGCCCAGGCCCTGGCTGGCTCCATACTGGCTGGAGTGGGTGGGTTGGTTTGCTTTAAGCAGAGCAGCACTGCAGGGCGGCGAAGGGCAGCGCCGGCCAGGCGCCTGGGGCGATGCCGGGCCGCGCCGGGCAATGCCCTAACTCCTGGGCCTTAGGCTCCTGACCGTGACGCGGGGTAGCCATGGCCTCCTGCGGGATGAGCAGGTGGTCGAAGGCGCTAGCGCTGTCCCTGCCCAGGAACGTCAGCCGTGACCCGCCCTGCTCCGTGGCCAGCGGGGAGCGCTCCGAGGACGCTCCCGGAAGCTGGTCCGGCCCCTGGTGGACGGTGGGGGCCGATTGACATGGGCTTGACGATGGGCACTGACATGGCCCCCAGCTTCCCTCAGCTCGGAGACAGGTCTCCGGTGTCGGGTCCATACCTTTGACCTTGGGGAAGTGCTGGTTTGTCTCAGGGCTGAGAGCATCGGCCTACGGACTGGCGGGTCACCAGTTCAATTCCTGCCAAGGGCACGCACGTACCTGGGTTGCAGGTTTGATGCCTGGTGGGTGCGTGCAGGAGGCAACCAACGGAGGAGTCTCTCTCACATCAGTGTGTCGCTCGGTGTCCCCCTCCCTTCCGCTCACAAATCCAATAGGAAAATACCCCGCCTCTAGAGGGCGCAGGGCAGAGCGCGGGCCGCCGGGAGCCGGACCCACCTTCCTCACCGCGAAGCTGATGTTGTGCAGCACCGACTTGCTGCCGTGGCGCCGGCCCTCCCGGCCCGCGGCGCTGGGGGCCGAGGCGCCCAGGCGGTACGCCTCCGAGCTCTGCTTCCCCGCCTTCTTTATGTCGCTGTCGCCCTCCCAGCCGGCCTCCTGCGCCCACGTCAGGGTGGCATTTGCTAAAAGCAAGACAGTGTCTGGGCCTTCTGGCTGGGTGACGTAGGACGGGGGGCTGGTGGCTATGAGAATTTTCTAAGATCAAAGAAACAAAATCAACTGGGTAGATGGCGTCCATTGGCGAGGACCACCCCGGCGCACCTTCCCGCCGCCCCCAAGCACCCAGTCTCGGCGGCTCTCCCCAGGACGTCTGAGGCTGCTCCCCAGGGGGACCTGCAGCAAACGGGGTCCCCCGGCCCGGACACGGAGGATGATGGCTCTTTAACCACCAGGCCTGTGTGGGTCACCCACGGAGAGCCCTCCCCCCCCCCCGCCCCTGAGCTGCGTTTCCACCCTCATGCCCAGGTAGCAGCTTTTTAAAAAAAATATATATTTTTTATTGATTTCAGAGAAAAGGGGAGAGGGAGAGAGAGAGCCATCAGCGATCAGAGATGACGGCACGGGAAAGGCTCTGGGGCCTGGGCGTGCGCCTGGGAGTGAGGGGGACAGTTCGGGGAGGCGCTGGGCCCTGCGATCGTGCAGACGAGGTGACGAGGCATCGAGTGAAGGTGAGGGCCCGGGGGCCGGGGGCCGGAAGGAGTCACAGAGAGAGGCGCGCCCTCTGGTCTGAGACATCGGCCTCAGCATGCACGCAGGTCACGTGACGGCGTCCACTCTTGTCTTTCGGTCACAAAGGGACCATTTGATAGTGTGCCTCCTGGACTGTCTCACACACGGTGGCTTTTACTGAGGGACTGCGTGGCGGGGAGGCGGGGCAGCAGGGCCCTTGGGGGCAGGTGTGGACGGTGCGGGGGAGAGGGAGAGGACATGAGCACGCACAGCTGGCCTCTGGCCGCAGTGAGTTAGGGCTTTCCATCCGTTTGCAGATATGTGAGCCTGCTGCGTTCTCTCTCTCTCTCTCTCTCTCTCTCTCTCTCTCTCTCTCTCTGTCGCCCTCGCTCTGCCTCTGTCTCTCGTTGGTGCTTTGATCAGGAATCAGACTGGTGACCTGGTGCCCTCTTGGTTCATGGGTTAAGCCCAACCACTGAGCCACACCAAAGGTGAGCCTGCTGCTCTCCTGACCGGAGCATCCCCCTCCCTTTCCTGTCCTCACCTCAACGTCAGAACCACCGCATCTGCCCTTCCCACGCGCCACACATTCCCTCACGTGTACGGCCGGTCCTGCGTACCTCGTCCTACTCTACCCCGTCAACACTCTCTCTTCTAGGTCTTCACATTTCAGTCAGTCACTCCCATCACCACCCCTTGTAGCACCAGCCAGACAGGCCATGCGGGGGCGGAGGGTGGAGGACTCTGCGCACACCCAGCCCCCACTCCCGGAACCCCCCCGCACGCCTACGGCTGGGACAGGAGTGGAGGTTCAGGGGTGTCTCCGTAGAGACTCCATCTCCTTTTCCCTAAAGGGCGGGCCACCAGGAGGCGCTGCCCGCCCTCCGCCTCCCACAGGCCTGCACCCCCCTCCTGGGGCCTTCTCCCCGGCCCACCTCGCCAGGGCCACCCTCCTGTGGCTGGGCTCAGCTTCCCTCATCGGGATCTCCCCCCCCAGAAAGGAGGCCTCTCTTCCCAACTCACCCAGCGTGAGCTATACCTTCATTCTCCTCAGCGAGACGCTGGCCTCGGCCGCCGCCTTGACGGAGAAGGGCAGGATGGCGATGGAGAACTTCATCACGTTGAACATGGCGATCACGCTGAACGCCTGCGGGCAGGGGGCCGGGTCAGGCCGGGGTGAGGACGGGGTCAGGCCGGGGTGGCCTCGGCTGGGCTCTGAGGTTGTGGGGAGCCAGCGGCAGTGGCTTGTGTGGTCTGCGTGTGCGTTTCCAGGTTGTGTGGCAGCGTTCACTGTGCCCCCGGCCCCGCCGTGGACCCGAAGGGCCGCTGTGAGCCTGGCCCCCGCCTTGGGGGGTCCGGGCCGGGGCGGGCGAAGGCGGGAGCCGTCCTTACCACGGCGGCCGTGAGCTGGCGCCGCAGCAGGATGTGGCAGGTGAAGGTGGACACGATGGCGATGGTGGAGGCGATGGGGGCCAGCGTCGAGTTCCCGCTCTGGACAAAGCCCGCCTTCTCCAGCAGCTTCCTCTCTCGCCTCCTGATGTCTGCAGGCAGAACAGGGCCGACTCAGCCGCACGCCCAGTCCCGCTGTCCTCCGAGGCAGCGGGCACGGCCCCGCCACGAGGGGCAGATGGGGGAGCAGAGTCCGGGCACTGAGCCGGCACTGGCCACTCAGGGCTGGCTGCGGCGGGAGCGGTGCAGGGCGCCAGGGTCATGTCCTGGGCCCCTGCATCTGGGTGTGGGGAGTCCGACCCTCGGGCCCCCTCGGGGGCCAGGGTGCTGCCCACGGGAGCCTGTGGGCACCGAGGGGCTGTGTGTCTCGGGAGAGGGCGCCAGTGCCAGCAGCACCCGCTGCTCCGAGTCCCCACGTGGACGGAGGGGGATGGGGGTGAAGGGGGGCGAGCGGCAGGCCGCGCCCACACGCTCCAGAGTAAAGCCAGCGTGCTCGCTTTGGGGCTGTGTTTTAGCTTAGCTCAGCCTTCACCTTCTCTTTAAAAGATTTTTAAAATAGAAAGAGGAAGGGAGAGGGAGAGAGAGGGAAGCATCCACGGCTGCCTCCCGCGCGCCCCCTGCTGGGAGTCGGGTCACGGCCTTTCGGTGTGGGGTGATGTGCAGCCACGGAGCCACGCCGGCCGGGCTCCCGCCTTAAATGCGGGGCCTCGTGCCGATCACGTGTGCAGTCTGGTGGCCGTGCGCACAGTAGCCCTTGGTAAGTATGCACGGGCTTAACCTGACCTGACCAGTGCACGGAACCAAATTTATTCAGACCAAGTCGGTGTCTTGAAGTGAGTTCAGGGGCGAGTGAGGAAGCTTTTCTGGGTCCTCAGTGTGGGTCCCCGGGGCGGGCTGCGTCTGCACGGGGTCTCTGCCCTGGGCAGCGGGAAACGGGTCCTCGGGGCCGCCCGAAGCGCAGCACGCAGCTGCAGGCCAATTCCACGCCGGCCGGGAGTGTGATTGTGGGCCGGGAGCTGCTGTACCGGGCTCAGGTCATTAACCGGCCAGGCACCCGAGGCTCCTCAGTGATTATGTACATGTCCCCGCAGCCAGATTTGCATTTAGATGGGGCAGAGATGGGTCCGGTGCCCTCTCCTCTGTCTCCCCTCTCTGTCTCCTCTAGGAGAGAAGCCTGTGGAGCCTGTTACCTGAGTGAGGCATGTCAGCCTGCGGGCCACCAGGGGGCGACGAGGCAATGCAGGCACCGAGGGTTTGTGTGTATGGGGGTGTGGGATGGTGTGTGTGTGTGTGTGTGTGTGTGTGTGTGTGTGAGAGAGCGAGAGAGAGTGTGTACATGAGTGCATATGAGCATGTGTGTGTGCGAGTATGTGTGTGCGTGTGTGTGTACATATGAGTGTGTGTATGAGCTTATGTGTGGGCGTACATGTGTGCATGTGAGTGCTTATGAGTGTGTGTCAGTGTGTGTACAAGAGTGTGTAAGAGATGGTGTGTGTGTACATGAGTGCATATGCGTGTGTACGAGTATGAGTGTATGAGAGTGAGTGTGTGTATGAGTATGTGGGTGTGCATGTGTGCATGTGAGCGCTTATAAGTGTATGAGTGCTTATGCATGTGTGTTTCGTGTGTCTCGTGTGTCTCGTGTGCGTGTGTGCGTGTGTGTGTGTGTGTGTGTGTGTGTAGAAATCTAAGTCAAGGAAATAGCTTGAGGCCGCTCTTCTGCTCACACGTTTAGTGGGCTGGTTCTGTGAAAGGGAGCTGAGTGGTCAGCGCCAGCACCCACACGCCCGGCCAAGGCTAACCACACGGGGCCGCCCACTGAGCCACTCCCCAGCGCAGACGCCGCTTCTATGATGGGAGCTCTGAGCAGGGCGCTCCGGGGGCCCCTCCTGGACCCTGTGCCCCGGGACAAGTCCCCCAGCGGCGCCCCCTACCTCGGATGGTCTGGGTGAAGGGCTTCTCCCAGGCATACATCTTAATCAGCTTGATGCAGGTCACAAACTCGCTCATGGTCTGCACCCGCTTGTCCGTCACGGAGACGGCCGACCTCCGGAAAGCAGAGTTGAGCTTCGCCATGAACACCTGGAGGCAGGGTGCCCACGCTGGTTCCGGGCGCAGCGCGGGCCTAGCCGGCCTCAACACCCCCCCCCCCCCGGGGCAAGTCCGGGGCGGCACAGCCTGAGAAGCTGGCGGGCACTCTCCCTGGGCCGGCGCGGTCGGGGCACAGGGGCCAGGGTCACCAGGCTTCAGAGGCGGTGTCGGCGACTGTGACAAACAGGGGGGGCGTGCCCTGCCCCCTCCCCAGGGCGTCCCCATTCAAGTTTTAAAAACACTACACTGTGCCCTGGCGCCGTGGCTCAACAAACCAGGAGGTCAGGGTTCGATTCCCGGTCGGGGCACAGGCCCGGGTCAGGGGCTTGTTCCCCATGCGGGGTGTGCAGGAGGCAGCAATCGATGGTTCCCTCTCCCTCTCCCTCTCCCCCTCTCTCTCTCTCTCCCTCCCCCCCCCCCGCCCCCGCCCCTCTCCTTTCCTCTCTGAAGCCAATCAGAGCGGGAAGCACACCTGTGGGCGCCACGGGGCCGGGCGCACAGTCACCTGGATGGGGACGAAGATGACGTAGACGGAGATCCCGACGAGGGCCGTGGGCCCCAGGATGAAGAAGGAGAACACGGCGCAGACGACCATGAGGATGGGGATGGTGACCGGCAAAGGGCAGAACAAAGCGGCTTCGAACAGGGAGCAGCTGTCGCTGGACAGCACGTTGAGCACCTGGAGGAGAGCCCGGTCCGGGCGGGGGTCAGCGGCATCGTCCCCGAGGCCCAGGGTCCCACCGGGCTCCTCGCGGCCCCTCTGCTTTGTCGGGGGCGGCCTGCCCCGCCCAAGACTGCGGCGCGCCTGGCGGAGGCAGGTGCTCACAGGCCTGGTGCCCGGGGCCGGGGCTTCCTGGGTGCGTGGTGCCGACTGCGTCGCTCAGGATTAAGGCGTGAGAAATGTCCACTGGGGTCCTGGCCGGGGGGGTGTCCCAGCATGCCAGGGGTGGGGGGGGGGGTCATCCTGGTCAGCCATGTGCCAGAATCACCGATGGACGCATCAAAAAGTGGAACGCCCATCTCTCTCTCTCCCCTCTTCCTCTCTCTCTCAAAATCAATCAATACTTTTTTTTAAAAAGAAAGGAAAATGTCAACTCTGAGGCCCCCCCAGGCGGTCTTTGGCCCCCCAAGCACCACAGCGATGGACTCGCCGGCTGTAGGGGTCCATCCGCTCGATGCCATGGCTGCAGCCGGCTCTGTGTCGCCGCTGGCCCTCACTGTCAGTCCAAGCCACGGGATGAGGGCCCTGCGCCCAGCTGGACAGAGAAGACCCCAAGCCCCCCAGCGTGAAGGAGCCCGGAGTGCCCGCCTCACCCCGCGGGGAGACGGGCCTGGTGGGCAGGACCGGCCACAGGGAGGCGCTGCCCCGCCCCGGCCCGCCGGCTCACCTCGCCCACGGAGATGCGCGTCAGCGTCTTGAAGGACATCAGGTTCTCGAAGACCAGCGTGGACACGGCCACCTTCAGCCGGACGGCCGTGCGGTAGTTGATGGCCCAGGCCAGGGCCCAGAAGAGCACTTTGGTGAACTCGGTGGCGAAGAGGGCGGCGCACAGGCCCAGGCCCACCCACACGCTGCGGGCGTCGCTCTCCGTGTGCCGGAGGAGCTGGTGGATGAGGACGGTCTGCAGGGCGGCGGGGCGGGGAGAGGGGAGAGCGCGCTGGGGAGGGCCCCTCACCGGCTCCCGGCGGCGGCACACTTTCTCTCGGCGAGGGTTCTCTTCGTGGAAATTCGCCCCAGGAGCGCGGGGGTCATGGCCGAGTCAGAGGGAGGTGCTCGCCCTCCCTCGCCGAGGCCTGGGGACCAGGCAGGAGGCGCCACTCACCGGCCCGATGGCTGCCATGATGACGCACAGGATGTTGACCACCGTGTCCATCAGCACGCGCGTCCGCTGGAACTGCCAGACCACGCGGCCCAGAGAGGCCTTCTCGGGGCCCGCCATCGCCACCTCCAGGTCCCAGAGCACGCGGAGCCTGCGCGGGAGGGGAGTGGAGGGGAGGGGAGGGAGGGGAGGGGAGGGGGCCGGGCCTTCCGTGTCTGCTTGCTGCTCAGGGCCTCGCTGGTGGGAGAGTCTCTGAAGGGAGAGTCGCAGGCCCTGGCTGGGGTGGCTCAGTGGGTAGAGCACCCGTCTGCGGACTGGAGGACCCCAGGTTCAATTCCGGCCAAGGGCGCGTCCCTCGGCTGCAGGCTCCATCCCAGCCTCATGTGGGAGGCAACCAACCAATCTATCCATTTCTCTCCCCACCCACCTGAAAATCATTGGAAAAATATCCTTGGGGGGGAGGATTAAAAAATAATGAATAAAATAAAGCACGCATCCCAGGATGAGCCACACCCAACCGGAAACGGCCACGCAGGAGCCGCGAGGGGCCCGGTGGCGGGCGTGGACGGAGCCCGGGGCGGGCGGGGCGGCCGGGCGAGCAGGTGGGGCGGGAGCCGGGCGGGGGCTCAGATTCAGATGGAGGCCCGGCTTGAGGGAGCCCGCAGCGGGGCGGGGACAAGGGAACTCCCTGGGGGCTCCCGGTCCCTTCCCCGGCCGGCTCCTCTCCCTCGGGGACCCCCGGGGAGCCCTGGCACCTTTGGGCGTTGGTGTCGGAGGAGTCGTACGGCGACAGCGGGGGCAGAGTGTCCACCGTGAGCGTGTGCCGGTAGCTCTTCACCATCATGGGCGTGAACCAGGAGAAGGTGGCAAAGGAGAGCAGCCCGGCATCGTCCATGGGGTTGGGCGCCAGCCTAGGGCGACAGGGGTGCCGCTCCAGGACGCCGGGCCCCGGCCTGCCCTCCGTGCCTGGCGTGCGTCCCTAACCAGGGCGGTGACCGCAGCCGCTCCGCGCGGGCGCCCCCAGCCCTCTGAGCAGCCGCGGGAGCGGACCTGCGCGTGGGAGCCAGGGGGACCCTGGCAGGAGCTTTGCAGAGGGCTGATGCCTAGGCCATGTTAGAACCCAGTGGCACGCACTTGTGTCAGTTATCACAGACAGAGGCAGGACGTCTGGGAAGGCATCACTTCCTGGTTATTTATGGGGTGTCACCAGCACCTCTGCTCTTGGGATTGGGTGAGACTCGTGCGTCTGCGTGGAGCCAGCACCCCACGTCCCAGGGAGCTGCCGAGCACCTCCTGAGCTTCAGCTGTGGCCTCCCCTCACCCAAGGACAGGAGGGGGCAGGAGTGAGGGCTCCACCAATGAGTAATGGCGGATGCATTGGTGGGTGGTGGGCAGACGGATGATGGATGATGGATGGATAGATGGGTGAGTAAACAATTGAGGACGGATGGACGGATGGTTGGATGGATGGATGAATGAGTGGACAATTGGAGGAAGGGTGGATAAGTGGACAATTGGAGGATGGATGGATGGATGGATGGTTGGATGATGGATGGGTGGAAAGATAGATGGGTGAATGGACAATTGGAGGATGGATGGATGGATGGATGGTGGATGGATGAACCGATAGAGGGGTGAGTGGATAAATGGAGGATGGGAGGATGGATGGTGGATGAGTAGACAGAAAGATGAGTGGACAATTGGAGGGTGGATGGAAGGATGGATGGATTGAAGGATGGGTGGACAGGCAGCTGGGTGAGTGGACAATTGGAGGGTGGATGGATGGGTTGAAGGATGGGTGGATGGGAAGACAGGAGGACAAGCATACAGGGCACAGCATGGGGAGCAGGGGCAGTGCCCACTCCTCTGATGGACCAGAAACGGGTCGTGGAGCTGGGCCTGCCCCGTCCTCCCGCCGCCCCGGTTACCTGGCGGAGGGCCTCATGGGGATCATGGTCTTCAGGCTGTGGTCATATCTCTCGGCAAAGGACCTGCGCCGGCTCCGCTTGTCCAGGTCGGAGATGAGGTAGGGGCTTTCGCCCACCATCCTGGTGGCGGTCCGGAGCCCTGGGCTCGTGGCCGAGGGGCACTGTCACTGCGGCAGAGACGGGGGGGGGGGGGGTCCCTGACACCAGGACACCCTGGAAAGCATCAGGCAGCCCAGGCCCCTGGCCAGCTCCCTCCTGACCCTCCCCCATGGGCTCACCAGCAGCCACGGGGAGTGACTAATAGGGTGAAAGTACAGGATTGGCGAAGGGCCCCTCTCCCCAGAGTGCTGTGCCCCCGGCTCCCGGCTTCTCTGCAGGGAGACGGGGCTGCGGCTCCTGCAGTGGTGCTCAGACCACGGTGGGGGTGGGGGAGCATTCCACAGTAAAGGCCACTAAAGAGACGTGGCAGCGAAAGCAGCACGCGGCTGCGTTCCGTGCTGCACCAGGAGAAACGGAGGGTGTCACTGCTGCCCTGGCCGGTGTGGCTCCGTGGAGGGCCCAGGGGAGCCGGACCCTGCGGTGGCTGGTGGCACGGCAGCTGTGACGCATGGGGCCCATCCAGCAGTCCCGGGGAAACGCTGCTTTATGCCAGGAAGGCGGCCTGGGCCAACCTCTGCCAGGAGCGAGGCGCTGCCTGGAGGGCCGAGTCTGCTTCCTGCGGTCGTGGGGCGGCGAGGGCTGCTGATGGAGCGGGGAGCCCCTGAGGCCCAGACCGCGCCCCAGGACCCTTCCTGGCTGCCTCCTGCCCTGGGGCACCGGGGAAGGCAGGCCCGGCATCCTCTGCTCGCCCGTGCGGTCCTCACCTGGCCACAGGCCGGACACACAGACACAGCAAGGCCTCTGCTCAGAGCAGAGTCCAAACTGGAGCATCTCGGACCCCGTGCCATGCCCAGGCCGTGTTCTGTGGGCTGCACGTGTTTTCAGAGGTTTTGAATGTGAGTTAGAAGAGATCACAACAACAGGAAAGATCTGTGGGCGTGTGTCACGCGGTGGGGACCCGGGATGTGTGTCATGTGGTGGGGACCCGGGCCTGGGTCAGACCCCAGGAGCACCCGCGGCTCCATCGGCCCGTGCTGGGCACTGTCCGCCCTCTGGAGGCTCCGATCTGCCGCAGGCCCTACCCTTCCCCATTGTCCCCCTGGCTCCGGGTCCGGGCACACGGCCCACCTGCCGGGGGGCGTTTGCCATCACATGTCCTCCTGGGAGCAGGTCTGCTCCCTCTCTCCTGGGTTCGCTCCAGAGAGGGGACCCAGGCCCGGAGGGCGGCGGGAGGAGGCGTCCCCGAGGCTCGGGCTGTGCTATTTCTGCCTCTAGCCCAGAAAACGAGCTGCGAGCGAGCGCGTCTCGTTAGGGAACTGCAGTCTGAGTTCTCCTTCTGCCATCGCGGACACCTCTCCCACAAAGCAAGTGCCCTCCCACCCCACCGTCCTGTCCCTGTAACAGCCCATCCTCAGTTCCCAGGGACCCGATGGTCTCACGCCCCCCCCCCCAGCCCCTCCTGGCACTGAGCGGCCTCCGCTCGGAGGGAAGCTGACCTCAGTCCCTGTCCTCACGCTCCGCCTCCCCAATGGCGTCTCCAGCACCCACGTTGGCATGGACCCCGGGGAAGGGCCCTGATGTTGGAGAGGGAGCAGGGTGCAGGGAAGAGGGAGGAGGGGATGGGAGGAGGGAGGAGGGAGGAGAACAGAGCCTGGCTGCAGGGGGAGGGGCTGTGCTAAGGTGCCCTCAGCCCTGAGGCCCCACGGTCACCAGTGACGGGTCCCGGTGAGGCCCCTCCAGCTAGAGAGGTCGGGGCAGGACTGGAGGGAAGGGGAAGTTCCCTGCCTGAGGCCTAAGCCTGAGCCACAAGGTTTTTAGCCATAAACCGCGCAATTAAATTGGGAACAGGACAGTGTGTGTGTGTGTGTGTGTGTGTGTGTGTGTGTGTGTGTCACTGTGAGGTGTGTGAGTGTGACTGAGGTGTGAGTGTATGAGTGTGAGTGTGTGATTATAAGGTGTGTGCTGTGTGAGTGAATGTGTGTGTGTGACTGAGGTGTGTGTCTATGTATGACGGAGATGTGTGTGTGTGTGTGAGTGAATGGGTGTGAGTGAATGTGTGTGAATGTGACTGTGAATGAATGAGTGAGTGTGAGTGAGTGTGAGTGAATGTGTGTGACTGTGACTGTGAGTGAATGTGTGAGTGTGAGTGAGTGTGTGTGTGAGTGAATGTGTGTGAATGAGTGTGAGTGAATGTGAGTGAATGAGTGAGTGTGAGTGTGTGTGAATGTGACTGTGAGTGAATGAGTGAGTGAGTGTGAGTGTGTGTGAGTGAATGTGAGTGAATGTGTGTGACTGTGAGTGAATGAGTGAATGTGTGTGAATGTGAGTGTGTGTGTGAGTGAATGTGTGTGAGTGTAAGTGAATGTGTGTGAATGTGACTGTGAGTGAATGAATGTGAGTGAGTGTGTGTGTGAGTGAATGTGTGTGAGTGTGACTGTGAGTGAATGTGTGAGTGTGTGTGTGTGTGTGTGTGTGAGTGAATGTGTGTGACTGTGAGTAAATGTGTGAGTGTGTGTGTGTGTGTGTGAGTGAATGTGTGTGACTGTGAGTGAATGAGTGAGTGTGAGTGAATGTGTGTGAATGTGAGTGAATGTGTGTGAATGAGTGTGAGTGAATGAGTGAGTGTGAGTGAGTGTGTGTGTGAGTGAATGTGTGTGACTGTGAGTGAATGTGTGTGAGTGAATGTGTGTGACTGTGAGTGAATGTGTGTGAATGAGTGTGAGTGAATGTGTGAGTGTGTGTGTGAGTGAGTGTGAGTGTGAGGTGAGTGTGAGGACCCTGGTGGGGAGCCTGCTGGCACTGCCCCTTTTAGTTGATGAGGCCGAGGCTCCAAGGGGCAGAGGCAGGCTGTTGGCTGGGGGCATCCCCGCGGCCCTGGGCCAGGGCCCTCACCGGGAGGGTTACCTGGGCAGGAACCGCCGGTCCCAGGAGGGCGGTGAGGGCAGCGCGCGGCCCCAGAGGCCCGGCCCCTCTCCCCACGACTCACACCGCTGGCCTCCTCCCGCTGCTGGAGTCCCTCCAACTGCCCACTCAACTGCCGCCCCCGCGGAGGGAACTCTGGGGGCCCAGCATTCCTTCTGCCGCGTTAAAGGGCACTGCCCCCGGGGCCACCGGCCGTCCCGGCCCCCGGAGGAGGAGCGGCCCCCAGCCCCAGCACTGCCCCCTGCACCGGCCCCGGCGCCCGCAGAGCAGAGGCCACCAGTCGGGGCGGGGAGGCCCCTCGGACCCCGCTCCTCACTGAGCCCCGGGCAGCGGCAGTGTGAGCTCCGGTTTTGCTTGTTGTGAAGCAGAGGCCTGGCTGCCTGTTGGCTGTGCCCGTGCTGTCGGCCTCACGTCGGGGCTCTCGCCCGGGGCGGGGCCTCTCCGTCTCCTGGCCCACGGGCTGCCCCTCAGAGCCGCTGACCCCGCGCGGCCAGGGGTGGGAGGGAGGGAGCGGACTGTGGGTCCAGGTGGAGCAGCCTCGATCTGCTTTAAGCCTCATGTGGACCCTGAGGCCTCCAGGCCCCGCAGGCTGTGTGAGAGCTGCGGCAGCGCGGTGAGCTGCCAGGCCCTCGCCCACTCGCACCCTGGCCGTGCCTCCCCGCGGCGATTCTGGGGGTGCAGTTCCCAGGGGAGGACGCTTCTCCCCCTGCCCGGGGGGGGGTGTGGGGGGCGGCGGGCGGGGGTAGCGGAGCCAGTGTCCGCGCGGAACACAGACCCGCCAGCAGGTTCAGAGGCCTCCCGTTCGCTGGCTCAGGACAGCGTTTCTAACGTGAGGCTTAGAGGAGCCCGGTCACTCTGACTCGGGTCATCAGGACGGGCGCTGAAGCCTGGGCAGCTCAGTGGCTGAACGCGGCCCCCAGGACTGAAGGTCCGGGGTTGTTGCTGGTCGAGGGCTGGATCCGGCCCTGGCTGGGGTGCGTGCAGGAAGCTGAAGTGTGTCTCTCACATGGATGTTTCTCTCTGTGTCCCCCCCCCCTCCACTCTGTTTAATATCGATGGAGCCGCCGAGCTGGGCTGGCTCCTGGATGGAGCGGTGGCCCGCGGACGTCAGGGTTTCAGAACAGGGCGCCTGCCAGGCACCGCCCCGGCAGAGGGAGGCCCCGGGCGGGGAGCTGCTGCGAGGGGAGGAGGGTGGGGCCTGAGGACCAGTGGGAGTGGGTCCCTTTCCTGCCCTGGGCCTGGGGTGGGGCTGGGGGTGAGCACTGTCCGCGGTGGATTTCAGGGGATCGGCCGCCGTCTGAAGCCCAGGCCGCCTCCCCCGCGTTGGCTGGGAGGAGACTGCCACCTGCTGGCTGCTGTGAGGAGCAGGTGTCGGCAGAGGGCTTTCTCCCAGGGCCGCTCGGGGAGGGGACAGGCAGGGGAGCAGGGGCCTGCAGACCCTGCAGGGTTGAGAGGAGGGGGAGGGGCCCGGGCACTCCTCCAGGCCCAAGTGAAAGGCGGGCAGAGAGGGAAAGGGCTCAGGGGGCACAGGGGCACAGGGACCTGTGAGAGCAGGAGGGCAATCCCTGGACGTGCCCTCTGGAGCCTGGGCAGGAGCAGGCGTGAGGTGAGACACGCTGCCAGGAACAGGGCTGGGCCTCCTCCTGGGCGGTGCTGCCCACGGGAAGTGCTGGCTGTGCTCCGCCGGGAGCGGTCTCCGTCCCCGAGCCATTTCCCTCCCAGGTCTCAGCTCCCCACGGCTCCCCGCGGCTCCCCGCGGCTCCCTCCACCAGGAAGCCCGCCGGACTGTCCTCGCCTCCGCCCCCTGTCCCTGGTTCCGCTCCCTCATTTGCTGCTCACTCCCGCTCACCAGGACAACCCCACGAGGGCAGAGGGGCCTGCCCCCAGCACCCCTCAGTGCCAGAGCAGGAAGTGGCTGTGCTAGGGGCTGACCTCACTCAGACACTGCGACCTGCACGCACAGACAATAAAACACCGGGACGGACGTCTGTCTCCCCCGACGGTGAGGCCGCCCTAGGAGTAAGTGGAAAACTGTTGCCTTTTCCTTTGTTCACGAGAGGCCGGTGCACAAAATTCGTGCAAGACGAGGCCTTCCTTCCCCGGCTGCCCGCACCGGCTTCCCTCCTGCACCCGGACCCCGGCTTCCCTCGCAGGAAGGATGTCCAGGAGGATATTGGTCTAATTAGCATATCATGTTTCCTTATTACAGATCTGTAGCCACTGTGTGCGAGGCTTTATTTACAGTTGACATACGTTGCGAGTGAATGCTTTATTCCCGGGGTCGGCAAACCCATCCGTCCACAGACCCAAACATCACCGGGACAACGGCGGGCATGCCTTCGGAGAGCCACGTTTTTTAAACGTCAACTCCTTCCAACGCCGCTTCTTCAACACAGACTCGCCGGGGCCGTGGTGTCTCGTGGGAGAGCCACACTCCAGGGCTCAGAGAGCCGCCTGTGGCTCTGGAGCCGCAGTGTGCCGACCACTGTTTTATTCTGCCCACCTGCGCTCTCACCGGGAAGCAAACCTGTGGCGGACCGCTCCTCCGTGTGGAAGGGGCACCTCTTCCGCTCTCCGGCCTGGGATTCGGGGCAACTGAGCCGTCCGTGGGAGGGGCCGCCCGGGAGCGCCCACGGGAAGGAGCCGGGCGGCGGGGGAGAGCCCGGGGCTGCCAGCAGCCGCTCTGCGCCCAGAGGGGGCGGGAGGCAGCCGCCCCGCACGCCCCGGAGCTGCCCTCCCCGAGCCCGCCAGCCCCGCTACGGAGTCAGTGAGGGGCCTCCCCGCCGCCAACACGGAAAGCAGGACCACATGTGGCTTCTCCGACTTTTATTCTTTTTACAAAACCATCCATCACCTCCCACGGCCGGGGCCACGGCGCCAGCCCTCCCGCCGGGAGGGGCCTGGGCTCGCCCTCGTGGTCTCGGAGGACGCCGGGGTCTCAGGCTTGGGGGCTTCACTCCCCAGCCTCCCCTCCCCCTCCCCACCCCCCTGCGCCCTCTGCCACGTCCGCCCAGCTCTCTGCCGCCTCTGCCCCCGCGGGCCACGGCCGTCCGCGGGTGACCGTGAGCCGGCCCGGTCCGTGGCCTCAGCCCAGCGCCGTGGCCGTCCTGAGCAGGCCTGCGAACATGGAGCCCGGCTCCCGCTGCAGGGCCTCGGGGCTGTCGAACTCCACCACCTGAGAGGAGGGAGGAGGGAGGAGGGAGGAGGGAGGCACTGAGCCCAGCCTGCGGGGCCGCAGGCCTGGCGCCCCCCTCCCCGGGCCCGGCCGCCCGGACCTTCCCGTTGTCCATGACCAGGATGCGGTCGCAGGCCAGCACGGTGGCGACGCGGTGGGCGATGATGAGCACCGTGCAGCCCCGGAAGGCCTCCCGGACGGTGCGCTGGATCAGCGTCTCGGTCTCCGTGTCGATGGAGGCCGTGGCCTCGTCAATGAGGACGATCTGGTGGGGACAGGACAGGTGGCAGCAAGCCCGGGCTGGCGTGGCTCAGTGGACAGAGCGGCGGCCTGCAGACCCAAGGGTCCCAGGTGCGATTCTCGGTCAGGGCACAGGCCCGGGTTGTGGGCTTGATCCCCAGTAGGGGGCGTGCAGGAGGCAGCCGATCTGTGATTCTTTCTAATCAAGGATGTTCCTATCTCTCTGAAATCAATAAAATATATTTTAAAATAAATAAAATGAAACAAAACATATTTTATGGATTTTTTTACAGAGAGGAAGGGAGAGGGATAGAGAGTTAGAAACATCGACGAGAGAGAATCATCCATCAGCTGCCTCTTGCACACCCCCCACTGGGGATGTGCCCGCAACCAAGGTACGTGCCCCTGACCGGAATCGAACCCGTGACCTTTCAGTCTGCAGGCCGACTCTCTATCCACTGAGCCACACCGGCTTCGGCTAAAATAAAACAAAATAAAAACCAGGTGGAGGCGGCCTCATGAGCCTGGGACTGGGCCTGGTCCTGGGCCGGCCAGCAGTTCGCCGAGACACGGAGCACTTTGGACGGAGCCCAGACCCCTCCGCCCCGCCCGCCGAGAGGGACACGCTTAGTGACCGAGGGCTCGTTCTTGGCGGCGGGCGGGGCGGGTCTGGTTCTAGGAGCCCCTCCCCTTTGCAGACGGACGCAGAGCAGTGTCCCCGCCTCCGGCGAGCACACCCGGCCACGTATGTTCCTGCTGCAGCACCGCTGTGTCTGTCCCCCTGACCCGCACAGGGGCGGGGCCGGCCCACGAGGGGCCCGAGTGTCACAGGTTAAGGTCAGGGACCCTTAGAAAGAGGGCGTCGTGAGGAAGGCAGGGGCCACGGGTGTGACCAAAGTCACGCGTGCACGTGTGAGTGCGGAGGCGCGTGTCCGTGTGTGTCCATGTTTATGTGTGTCCTTGTGCACATTTCACACGTGCACGTCTGAGCGTGTGTGCTTACATGCTTGCGTTTTGCTTGCTGGTGAGGGGAAGCATGCTCCTAAGAGCCCGCCGGCCGCTGCGCGGTGGCCGGGACACCGTCTGGGCAGCGGTGAGTCCCGGGCCAGGGAGCCCCTGGACGGCCGGCCGCGCACGGCCCCCAGCAGGCGGGGACGTGCTCTCAGGGACCGCGAGGTGGCGACTGCGAGGCTCCGGCTCGCACCCTGGCTCTGGGTTGGACGGACTTCAGCGCGGGGGCGGGGGTGGGGGGCTGAGGGCCTGGCCGAGCCCCGTCACGCCCCCCCCCCCGCCTCGATCCCACCCCACACCTCTCCCCGCCACGCCTCGCCCCCCACGCCTCACCCCCCACGCCCCGCCCCCCCACGCCCCGCCCCCCCACGCCTCGCCCCCACGCCTCGCCCCCGCGCCTCGCCCCCCCACACCTCGATCCCACCCCACGCCTCGCCCCCCCCACGCCTCGCCCCCACGCAGGCCGGTGCTGGGCCACACCTTGGAGTTGCGTAGGAGGGCGCGGGCGATGCAGAGCAGCTGCCTCTCCCCCACCGAGAAGTTCTCGCCGTTCTCCTCCACCTCCGCCTGCAGCCTCTGCGGGAACTTCTGGATCTGAGGCCGGGCAGACACGGGGGGTCACTCAGGGTGCGGGCAGGGGGAAAGACCCCCGGGCGGCGCCTGTGCACGGCGCCCTCCTCCGTCTCTCTGTGCAGCTCTCCCCGCCCACACCCCCAGGATCCCGCGGCCAGTGTCGGCCCAGCGGGCCCTCCCCCTCCCGCCTCCCCGCCTCCGCTGTGTCCTCAGCCCACCGAGCCTGCCCCGGCGTCCAGTGTGGTCCCTCGCGTGAGCCGGCCCCCCGTGCCCAGCGCGTCGAGTCTGTAGTGCCAGGGGAGGCGCCTGCGGGAGAGGCGGCCACGCCCGGAGCCTCGCTCACCGTGTGGCTCAGGAAGGTCCTCTCCAGGGCGCCCCAGATCTCCTCGTCCGAGTGCTGGCCAAAGGGGTCCAGGTTCAGCCTGCCAGGAGGAGGCCGTGCTCACCATCACCCGCCGGGGCAGCCTGCCCGCCCACGGCGAGGGCGAGGGCCGGGTTACAGACCCCCGTGGGCCCTGCGAGCGGGCATTTCCCTGGCAGCAGCCCCAGGTTTTTGGGGGGGCCACCTGTGTCCCCAGCCCCCGAGCCCAGGGGCTGAGGTGGGGCTCTCTCTCGGGGGTGAGCCAGTCACTGTGTTTGTCACTGCCGCCATCTGTGAGTCTACCACTCCGGGCATAAGTGCACTCGCCGCGTGCGTGGCCATCACTGCCCCTCCCCGTCTCAACGAACACTCCGCCTCCAACAAGCGCCTCAAAACCTAAACGCGTCCACTTCCCAGAAAACGCGGGGCTGCACCTGAGCGGGCGGAGGACAGGCGTGGCCTCAGGCGGGGAGGGGGGGGGTATGGCGTGTTCCTGCGAACGTGTGGAGCCGGGAGAGAGCCCAGTGGGCGTGGCTCAGGGGGTCAGCCTCGCCCTGTGGACCAGGAGGCCACGGCTCCATTCCCGGTCAGGGCACAGGCCCGGGTTGCAGGCTCCCCAGGAGGGAGTGTGCAGGAGGCAGCCGTCCCATGATTCGCTCTCATCCTTGACGTTTCTCTCTCTCTCTCCCACTCCCTTCCTCTCTGAGACAAATAAAAATATATCTTAAAACAAACGACGATGACATCTTGCAAATGCACCGGGGTCTCCGTCGCCCTTTAGGGACAGCTCAGTGGTTGGAGGGGCCCCGAAACGGACGGCCCCCGGCCAGCACGCACCGGATGGTCCCCGAGAACAGGACGGGGTCCTGAGGGATGACGGACAGCTTGGACCGCAGGTCCTCCAGGCTGACGCTGCTGATGTCCACACCGTCGATGAGGATGCAGCCCGCCGTGGGCTCCGCCAGGCGAAAGAGCGCCATCCCCAAGGAGGACTTCCCTGTTGGGGCCGGGCATCGCCTGCTGAACCCGCCCGGGGCCGGCCCGGGCCACACCCGCCTGCTCCGCCAGCCCCCGGGCCTCCCCGACGCTCCCACCTGCCATTCCCTCGTCTGTTCCCCGGCCAGTGTCCGGGGCAGGGCCCGGCGTGTCAGGAGGGCCAGCACCCCCGGGGGCGCCTGTGCGAACCCCGGCCTGAGAGCAGGCGGATGCCCGCGGCCCGGGGGAGGGAGGGCGCTGGGCGTGCTGCTCACCGGAGCCGGTACGGCCCACGATGCCCACCACCTCCTGGCCACGGACGGTCAGGCTGATGCCCTTGAGGACGACGGGCGTGTTGTAGCGGTAGCGCATCTGGTAGTCCTGGAAGCACAGCTCCCCGTGCTGCGGCCACACGGCCGGGCGGCCCGCGCCCCTCCCGGACGGCCCCTGCCGCGGAGCCTCCGGGACGCACAGCTCGTGTTCGGAGAAAGAGGAAGCCGCCGTTACCCTCCGCGCGGCTGCGCCCGGGCCTGTGGCCACCCCGCTGCCCGGCCCCGGCGGTGCGACCGGAGGGGCCCCCAGGCCATCCCTGCCCCGGCTCTAGCCCCGACGAAGGGGGAGCCCAGAGCTGCCTCCTGTCTGCTAACGTGGAGGACTCTGGTGGGTGCCTGGCGCGCTGAAGACAGAACCTGAGCAGCCAGCACGGGCAGCCAGGTGTCCCCCGCGGGGCGGGCTCAGCTCGGAGCCCTGGCCGTGGGCTCTCTGTCCTCCCCCGCGAGGCGGGCTTTCTCGCACGCGTCTCACAGGCAAGGGCCAGGCTCAGACGGCGCAGAGGATGGCTCCGGGCGGCACAGCTGGGGGCGGGGGGTGGGGGGGCAGCGCGGACTCTAGCCCAGGCCGCCTGAGCCACACCCCAACGTTGGCCACGCGCAGTGGGCGTGTTGGGAGGAGACAGCGAGGGCAAGAAGCAGGGTCCCGGCCGGGCTGCTCGCACAGCGTCCCCACAGCGTCCCGCGGGGTTAGACCCAAGCTCTGCGGCTCCCAAGTCCCGCTCCCGGAACCCGTGGGGGCCATGCCCGGGGCGGGGGGACGAGGAGGGGGGGGCTCCGCCGGCCGGCTGTGTCACCGTGAGCCAGCGCTCAGGGGCCAGCCTCGGCGCCCTCTCCTGGGTAACGGCTTGAGAGCGTGACAGCCTTACGCAGGGGCTTTGTGCTCCTGAGATAACCTGTGTAATGTGGCCCCGAGCCCCTCCCCGGGCCGGGCCAGCCCAGAGCTGCGTGTGTCCGTCCGCTCACCGCTGTGACCCCCAGGCGAGTAGCTGCTGCGAGCCGTCCCGCTCAGAGACGGGACAGAGGCCGCCGAGGCTGCCCCAGCTGCACCGCCCCTTCAGGGGCGAAGCTTACACTTGAACGGGGTGACCTGGCTCCAAAGCCTGCGCCCAGCCACTGCGCCTGAGCAGGTGCGGCCGTCAGGCCCGGCCTCGCTGCCGGCCTCGCTCTCAGACCGGCCAGACTGCCGCTTCTACAAAGGGCAGCTTCCTCCCTGCGCACCGGACGCGGCCGGCGGGGAGGAGCCAGAGAGGAGACAGCCCGGAGGCGGGAGGGCGGACGGGGGCAGAGCCGGGGAAAGCCTCGGGGCCAGGCCAAGCGGAGCCCCCCGTCCCACCTTCTGGTACTGCAGCAGCCGCTCCGCCGCTGTGAAGTAGGCTTCCGTCTCCGAGCCCATGCGCACCATGGCCTGGAAGGTGGACGCCAGCTGGCCGGGGGAGGCCGCGGGTCAGGCTGCGGCAGCAGGAGGCTCCCCCGAGCCCCCGCGCCTGCCCTCCCTCACCTGCAGGATGAGGCTGATGGTCAGGGCTTGGTAGGAGTGGGGGGCCGAGGACGCCCCGAGGGCTATGAACAAGGCCACGGCCAAGGTCACCAGGTTGACCAGGAGCTCCATCCGCAGGGACACCCAGCGCGTGGAGGACAGGTACATCAGCTGGTAGTTGATCTGCTTGTCGTTCAGCCTGTTAAACCTCGGGGGACAGGACACCGGAGCCGCCGCGTCGGTCTGCCCAAGGCCGCCCTCTCGGCCGCTGCCCCTCCACATGACCCCCGGCCGTCCTGCCCCACGGCCCTGCCGCCCCCCGCTGCCCCCGTCCTGCCCCATGTCCCCACTGCCCCCCCACTACCCACCCCCATCCTGCCCCACGGCCCTGCCGCCCCCCGCTACCCCCGTCCTGCCCCATGTCCCCACTGCCCCCCCACTACTCACCCCCATCCTGCCCCCCGGCCCTGCCGCCCCCCGCTATCCCCGTCCTGCCCCATGTCCCCACTGCCCCCCCACTACTCACCCCCATCCTGCCCCCCGGCCCTGCCGCCCCCCGCTATCCCCGTCCTGCCCCATGTCCCCACTGCCCCCCCACTACCCACCCCCATCCTGCCCCCCGGCCCTGCCGCCCCCCGCTGCCCCCCGTCCTGCCCCATGTCCCCACTGCCCCCCCACTACTCACCCCCATCCTGCCCCACGGCCCTGCCGCCCCCCGCTACCCCCGTCCTGCCCCATGTCCCCACTGCCCCCCCACTGAGGCTTTCACCCCCATCCTGCCCCCCGGCCCTGCCGCCCCCCGCTACCCCCCCATCCTGCCCCAGGGCCCTGCTGCCCCATGGTCCCCCCGCCGCCCCCTGCTACCCCCCCGTCCTGCCCCACAGCCCCACCGCCCCCCACTACCCCCCTCCCGTCCTGCCCCACGGCCCCACCGTCCCCTGCCACCCCCCCCCATCCTGCCCCACAGCCCCGCCGCCCCCCGCCACCCCCCCCCGTCCTGCCCCACGGCCCTGCTGCCACCCCCCCCCCATCCTGCCCCACGGCCTTCCGCCCCCGCCCCCCCCGTCCTGCCCCACGGCCTTCCGCCCGCTGCCACCCGCCCCCAGCCTGCCCCACGGCTGCAGGGACTCACTGGCGTACAAAGTCCTCGGCCTTCCCGTAGACGTGGATGGAGCTGAGGCCGCGCAGCGCGGTGAGGATGTGGGAGAAGACCGGGGAGCGGCTGTAGCTCTCCAGCCTCTTGAACACGGTCAAGGCCCACTTCACCTTCCTGCGGGGGAGAGGCTGCGGTGTCTGCCCGGGCCGTCCCCCCCGACACCCCCCGGCGGGGAGACCCTCCCGCGGAGGAGAGGATGGAGGAGAGGATGGAGGAGAGGATGGAGGAGAGGCTGGAGGAGAGGCTGGAGGAGAGGCTGGAGGAGAGGATGGAGGAGAGGATGGAGGAGAGGATGGAGGAGAGGATGGAGGAGAGGCTGGAGGAGAGGCTGGAGGAGAGGATGGAGGAGAGGATGGAGGAGAGGATGGAGGAGAGGCTGGAGGAGAGGATGGAGGAGAGGCTGGAGGAGAGGATGGAGGAGAGGATGGAGGAGAGGCTGGAGGATAGGCTGCGGCCGTCCCGTCTGGACCGTCCCCCTTGCCCCCTGGCCGGGGAGACCCTCACACGTAGAAGAGGATGGAGGAGAGGATGGAGGAGAGGATGGAGGAGAGGATGGAGGAGAGGCTGCAGCCGTCCCGTCCGGGCCGTCCCCCCGCCCCCCGGCCGGGGAGACCCTCACACGTAGAAGAGGATGGAGGAGAGGATGGAGGAGAGGCTGGAGGAGAGGATGGAGGAGAGGCTGCGGCCGTCCCGTCCGGGCCGTCCCCCCGCCCCCCGGCCGGGGAGACCCTCACACGTAGAAGAGGATGGAGGAGAGGATGGAGGAGAGGATGGAGGAAGGATGGAGGAAGGATGGAGGAGAGGATGGAGGAAGGATGGAGGAGAGGCTGGAGGAGAGGATGGAGGAGAGGATGGAGGAGAGGATGGAGGAGAGGCTGCAGCCGTCCCGTCCGGGCCGTCCCCCCGCCCCCCGGCCGGGGAGACCCTCACACGTAGAAGAGGATGGAGGAGAGGATGGAGGAGAGGATGGAGGAAGGATGGAGGAGAGGCTGGAGGAGAGGATGGAGGAAGGATGGAGGAGAGGCTGGAGGAGAGGATGGAGGAGAGGCTGGAGGAGAGGATGGAGGAGAGGATGGAGGAGAGGCTGGAGGAGAGGATGGAGGAGAGGATGGAGGAGAGGCTGCGGCCGTCCCGTCCGGGCCGTCCCCCCGCCCCCCGGCCGGGGAGACCCTCACACGTAGAAGAGGATGGAGGAGAGGATGGAGGAAGGATGGAGGAGAGGATGGAGGAGAGGATGGAGGAAGGATGGAGGAAGGATGGAGGAAGGATGGAGGAGAGGATGGAGGAAGGATGGAGGAGAGGATGGAGGAGAGGATGGAGGAGAGGATGGAGGAGAGGCTGGAGGAGAGGATGGAGGAGAGGCTGGAGGAGAGGATGGAGGAGAGGCTGCGGCCGTCCGTCCGGGCCGTCCCCCCGCCCCCCGGCCGGGGAGACCCTCACACGTAGAAGAGGATGGAGGAGAGGATGGAGGAGAGGATGGAGGAGAGGATGGAGGAAAGGATGGAGGAGAGGATGGAGGAGAGGCTGGAGGAGAGGATGGAGGAGAGGCTGCGGCCGTCCCGTCCGGGCCGTCCCCCCGCCCCCCGGCCGGGGAGACCCTCACACGTAGAAGAGGATGGAGGAGAGGATGGAGGAGAGGATGGAGGAGAGGATGGAGGAGAGGATGGAGGAGAGGATGGAGGAGAGGCTGGAGGAGAGGATGGAGGAGAGGCTGCGGCCGTCCCGTCCGGGCCGTCCCCCCGCCCCCCGGCCGGGGAGACCCTCACACGTAGAAGAGGATGGAGGAGAGGATGGAGGAGAGGATGGAGGAGAGGATGGAGGAGAGGATGGAGGAGAGGCTGGAGGAGAGGATGGAGGAGAGGCTGCGGCCGTCCCGTCCGGGCCGTCCCCCCGCCCCCCGGCCGGGGAGACCCTCACACGTAGAAGAGGATGGAGGAGAGGATGGAGGAGAGGATGGAGGAGAGGATGGAGGAGAGGATGGAGGAGAGGCTGGAGGAGAGGATGGAGGAGAGGCTGCGGCCGTCCCGTCCGGGCCGTCCCCCCGCCCCCCGGCCGGGGAGACCCTCACACGTAGAAGAGGATGGAGGAGAGGATGGAGGAGAGGATGGAGGAAGGATGGAGGAAGGATGGAGGAGAGGCTGGAGGAGAGGCTGGAGGAGAGGCTGGAGGAGAGGATGGAGGAGAGGCTGCGGCCGTCCCGTCCGGGCCGTCCCCCCGCCCCCCGGCCGGGGAGACCCTCACACGTAGAAGAGGATGCAGCCGGCGAACAGGACGGCGCCGATGGCCAGGATGTAGGGCGACAGCACGCTGACGATGACCATGTTGATGAGCACCAGCAGCAGCAGCAGCAGGAACTCCTCGGCCACGATGGGCAGCTGCTGGTCCAGCTGGTCCAGGTCCCCCGCGAAGCAGTTGAGCAGCCGGCCCGTGGGCGTCGTGTCGAAGAAGCTCATGGGGCAGAGGGAGACCTGCAGGGACGGCGCGGCCTTGGGGGGGGCTCTGCATCGGGGAGGCCTGGGGGCAGCGCCGGGCTCCAGAGTGCGGACGCCTCCCCCTGCTCTGGGTGGCCCTGGGCAGGTGGCCTCCCTCTGAGCCTGAACAAATCCCGAGCCAAGCGGACCGGACCACGCCTGCGTGCTGCCCTCGCCATCGGAAGCCTGACGCCCCCCACGTGGCACACGGGGACATGTGACGTGCGAGAGGGAGCCGGGACATCCCTCCGACGTCATCGGCTGCCACCCGGCGGGATGGACATCACAGGCCGCTTGGAATTCTAGCCAGGACGCCTGGTGCTGCCACCGCAGTGTGAGGGCAATGCCAGGGAGCTTGGGACAGTCCCACGTGACCCTGTGTGTGACAGTGCTTGGCCCACCGAGGCCAGCGCTGGTGTGACTCTGACCCTCAGCAAGGCCAGTGAACGGCTAGGACCCGCCGCCAGCGGCAGGGGTGACCGGCCCCCGTCCACCTGGGGGCCTGCTGTCCACTTAACAACCTTGGGACACTCGGCAACAGGCAAAACCAGGGAGACAGGAAGCAGGTCCATGGCTGTGGGGCTGTGGGGGGGCGTGGGAGGCGTGGACAGACAGCCCGGGACTTTTGGGGCAGTGAAGATAGTCTGAGCACACATGTGTCAAAACAGTGAACACAAATAAAGAATGCCCCCATGCGTAGCACCAGTCCCAGCCTGCCTGGGTCCCAGCTGGGCCTCACCTGGGCACTCCCAAGCCCAATCCCAGTAGCTGCCATCTGCAGATCTCTCTGTAGCTCCTGCCGGTGGCCCCAGAGCCAGTGACCCAGTGTGTGTGTGTGTGGGAGGGGGGGTGTGTGTGCATAGAATGTGCACCAGCCTGCCGAAACCGGTGTGGCTCAGTGGATAGAGCGTCGGCCTGCGGACTGAAAGGTCCCAGGTTCGATTCCGATCAAGGGCATGTACCTTGGTTGCGGGTACATCTCCAATAGGGGGTGTGCAAGAGACAGCTGGTCAATGTTTCTCTCTCATCGATGTTTCTGACTCTCTATCCCTCTCTCTTCCTCTCTGTAAAAAATCAATAAAATATATATTTGGGGGGGGAAATGTGCACCAGCCGGAGGGAACCCCAGGGTAAACCGTGGACGTTCGGTAAGGACGACAATGACCGGTCCGTATTGCTCGTCAGTGGAACAGGTGTCCCGCACGCAGGCACGGTGTTGGAGTGGCGGGGGTGAGGGAGGGCCTGGGGGAAACGCTGTGCTTTTCTCAACCCGAGCAGCACTCCCGAAGGCCAGCTTTCCCGCTCAGCAGCGCCCCCCGCCGGCCGCGCACCTTGCTGAAGAGGCTGTTGTGCAGCGCGGTGGACGCCTTCCTGGTGGCCCGGGTGAAGGCCACCGAGGAGCAGACCCCCACGCAGGTCAGGGCCAGCGTGCTGAGGCCCAGCACCGTCTCGTAGAAGGACAGGCGCGGGTTGTCCAGGATGTTGCCCGGGTCCGAGGTGCTTCTGTTGCTCTCGTGGCTGCTGTTGGTCTTCAAGAAAGGACGGGGGGGGGGGGGGGGGGGAGGGGGGGGGGCGTGCGGGGTCCGATAAGTATCTGTGGCCTCTGTCCCGGCTCCTGGCCCCGAGCCCCCTGCGGTGTCCCGAGCCCGGGAGCTGGGAGCATGCTCTGCTCGCACCCGTGGCCTCTGGCTCTGCCTCCAGACACTCGTTGTCTGAGACCTGGGAGTTCCTGGCAGCCCCTGGCAGGTGGCTGGGCCTGGAGGGAGGCCCGTCACCAGAAAGCCATGCAGTGGAAGCTGGGAGCCTCCGCCCACCCCGTCCTCCAGGGCTGGTGACATCAGTCATGCCCGGGCCCCCAGAGGAAGCCACACCCCGGGGATTCCAGCACTTGAGGCGCGTGCCCAGGGGGCCCCGGCCCAGGTACACCGCCCGCCTGTGCTGCCCAGTGCTGCCCGAGGATGTCCTGTGGGCTCAGCCCACCCCCGTCCCCGCTCCCTAAGGGGCTCAGGGACCCTGCACCCCCCTCCCCATTCCCTAAGGGGCTCAGGGACCCCGCACCCCCCTCTCCGCTCCCTAAGGAGCTCAGGGACCCCGCACCCCCCTCCCTGCTCCCTAAGGGGCTCAGGGACCCCGCACCTCCCTCCCTGCTCCCTAAGGGGCTCAGGGACCCCGCACCCCTCTTCCCCGCTCCCTAAGGGGCTCAGGGACCCCGCACCCCCCTCCCCACTCCCTAAGGGGCTCAGGGACCCGGAGCCGCCTGCATGGCCTGAGAGCCGTCCCTCTGACCTGTACTCTCACAAGGGGGAGTCCCTGGAGGGGGGCGCCTCGTGTCATGCCCCCATGACCCCGCCAGCAGGCAGCCTGCAGTGGGCGGGCCTCCTGGAGGTGTCCGTCTGCCTGGGCCCGGCCCCCCTCCACTCCTGGGTTCTCCCTTTAAGATGCGCTGGTCCCCTCTGCCCAGACCAGAGCGGCTCCCGGGCTTCCCACGACCCCCCCTGCCTCCCACGATAACCCTGCCTCCACGGCCCCCCGCCTCCACGTCCCCCGCCTCCACGGCCCCCCGCCTCCACGTCCCCCGCCTCCACGTCCCCCCGCCTCCACGTCCCCCGCCTCCACGTCCAGCAGGTCTCCCGTCCTGCGGCCGCCCCGCCCGGCGCCCGCCCGCGGTGTGCAGAGCCGGCCTGCCTGGGCCACGGAGAAGCCTCTTGGTTTTGTCCCCCAAAGACCACCGGGGGGCGGTTCAAGCTGTGAGCACGGGGCGTCCTGGGCAGAGGGCCCCGAAGTCTGGCTCCCAGAGTCTTCCCTGGGCCCGGTTGGTCCCCTGGGCAGCAGCAGGCGCCGGGCTGGTCCTGGGGTCCCAGCTGGGGCTCAGCCCCCAGAGAGGCCGCGCCTCTGCCAGCGCACCCCTCGCCCGGCACTCACCCCGGAGCCCTGCTCCAGCCAGTAGCTCAGCCACCAGAAGTAGAAGGCGGACAGGAAGGTGAACAGCACCATGAGCAGGAGCACGGCCACGGCCACCGCATACCCTGCGGGGAGGGCATTGCAGTGGCCGGAGCTGCCAGACCAAGCGGCGGGGGCGGTGCGAGGCGGGCCTCCCCTCGTGTGGTGTGCCCTCCCCGCCTGGGACCCGGCCTCCCGTGCCCTCCCCGCCTGGGACCCGGCCGCGGGCACCTCCGGCCCCCTGGATGTAGTGGTGGTAGACACGCCATGTGGGGGACCCCTGCTCCATCTTCTCCTGCTGGGTGAGCTGGTTCTGCAGCCCTGGGGGGGGGGGGAGGAGGAGGAAGAGGAGGAGGAGGGGCAGGAGGAGGAGAAGGAGAAAGAGGAGGAGAAGGAGAAGAAGGAGTTTCTCCCGGCTTCTCCCAGAGCCCTGCGCCTGCCCCTCCCGTCCCTCGCCTCCCGGTGGCAGCGCCCACCCAGCTGCCCCACCCACGGGAGACCCTGCACCCGGAGCCCGGAAGGGGGTCCTTCCCCAGCTATTCAGCCAGCCCAAGGGCCTGGCGCCCCGCAAGGGTAGGTCGGAGCGGCTGCAGAGAAGGGGGCCGTGGGGACCCGGGCCGGGGTCCTGTTCCTGACAGTCATCGCCCACTGCTCCCCAAGACACAGCCTCTGTCCCGTCTGCCGGCGGTGAGGTGCCCAGAGCCTCTGCTGCCCGCCCCAGCGCTCACCTGCGCTGTCCCCAGGGGGCTCCTCCGGGACGGGGTGCTGGGCCGGGCCGCCCGGAGGCTCCGGGGCCGCCTGCAGCGTGTCCTGGGGAGGCAGGGCTGTGAGCGAGGGGGCTCCCCCGGGGCGGGGTGGGGCGGAGCGGGGCGGGCGGGCGGTCACCTGGGCGGCCTCCCCGTGCATGGTCTGGATGAGGCGGGCGTACGGCCCCCCCCTCTGCATCAGCTCCCGGTGCGGCCCCTGCTCGCAGATCTTCCCGTTCGCCAGCAGCACCACCTGGTCGCAGAACTGCAGGCACTGCGGGGCGGGAGGAGGTCTCCGTGAGCCCCAGAGCCGCCCAGCGCCGCCCAGCGCCACCGTCCAGAGGCCAGCGCCCTGCGGGAGGGCCCTCGGCCCAGCCTGGCCCGGAACAGGCCCTCGCCGGCAGGCCGACATTCCCCATGGGGCCCTCAGCCCAACTCCTGGCACACTGGCCGCCAGGGGGAGGCTCCTGCATTGAGCATCTGCCCCCTGGTGGTCAGTATGCATCACAGCAACCAGTTGGCCTGCCGTTTGGTCAATTTTTAAAATATATATATTTTATTGATTTTTCACAGAGAGGAAAAGAGAAGGATAGAGAGTTAGAAACATCGACGAGAGAGAATCATCGACCAGCTGCCTCTTGCACACCCCCTGCTGGGGATGTGCCCGCAACCACGGTACATGCCCTTGACCGAATCGAACCCGGGACCCTTCAGTCCGCAGGCCGACGCTCTATCCGCTGAGCCACACCGGTGCCGGCCAGTGTGGTCCATTTTATTGGGGTTTCGTTCTATAGGATTGCCAGGTGGGCAGAAACCGAACGGCGGGCAACCCCGGTGGTGGTGGCGGCGGCGGAAGGAAGGGGGAGGCTCGTAAGCGTTGGGGCGGGTGGTGGGTGGCCCCGCTGCTTTGGAGAGCCGCCCGTCAACGCCCTGTAAAACTAACGGCTCTGGCAGAATGGCGAGCCAGCAACTCAACTCCTTAAGCTCCATCCTAAAACAGCTCTCCCGCGAGCACCGGCAGACGCCTGTAGGCTGACGTACGTTTCTTGTAAACGTGGAAAATGGCGGAGAGACCCTACGTGTCCGTCCTCGGGAACAAACGCTGGGATTTCCGGGGCCCGGAACCCCACCCCGCGAGCCTGACGGCCGCACTGTCCGCCTGGCCCATCTGGAAAGCGCGCCGTGGCGGGGAGAGGCAGGGCTCCTCACGGGAGCACAGCGGCAGCGCCGGGCGGGCTGGGCTGGGGAGGGGGCTGCTGGGTCCGGAGAGTCCGCTGGGTGTAAGGGGAGAGGCCCGTGCGCGCCCGGCGAGGAGGGGACGGGGTCCCCGCGTGACCGGTCCCCGGGTGCTGGCCACGGAGTCTCACTAGATCGCTCCTGGAGTCTCATTGTTAACCCTCAGGCCAGGGCATTGTCCCGTTGGTTTTCAGAGAGGGGCAGGGAGGCGGGAGACAGAGAGAGACATGGACGTTCGAGAGACGCGTCGATGGGCTGCCTCCGGCGCGCACCCTGATCGGGCCCAGGGAACCTGCAACCAAGGGACGGGTCCTTGCCCAGGATCGAACCGGGAACCTTCAGCCCCGGCTGAATGCTCTGACCACCGGGCCACACCGGCCAGGGCCCTCTGGAAAGCTCTTTATGCCTTTTTTAATTTTTTTAACGCCAGAAAGACGGCTCAGAGAGAAGAGGAGGGAGAAACAGCGGCAGGGTCTTGAGCCCAAAGCCAAGGACAGCAGGTGCAGGGGGAAGGGCAGCGGGCACCCCACTCCGCCCTGCTCTCGGGGGAGGCGTGGGGGTCCTTTCTGCTTCCAGAGCGCTGGCCCCTGCCGTGCGGAAGGCAGAGGGACCCTGGACGTGGGTCTGGACACTCACCAGCCCGTCTCCCCAGCACGGAGAGGAGGGAGGCCGAGTCTGTACCCCACGCCCCGCGGGGTCTGGTCTGAGGGGAGGGGGGAGGGTCTAGTCTGAGGGGGGGTCTGGTCTGAGGGGGGGTCTGGTCTGAGGGGGAGGGAGGGGGGTCTGGTTGAGGGGGAGGGGAGGGGTCTGAGGGGAGGGGGGAGGGGTCTGAGGGGAAGGGGAGGGGTCTGAGGGGGCGGGGGAGGGGTCTGAGGGGAGGGGGGAGGGTCTGAGGGGGGGTCTGGTCTGAGGGGGAGGGGGAGGGGTCTGAGGGGAGGGGGGAGGGGTCTGAGGGGAAGGGGAGGGGTCTGAGGGGGCGGGGGAGGGGTCTGAGGGGAGGGGGGAGGGTCTGAGGGGGGGTCTGGTCTGAGGGGGCGTCCCCGGCCCGTCACCTGCAGCTGGTGCGTCACCAGCACCACCGTCTTGCCCCGCAGCGCCTTCCGGATGCACTCCTGGAAGATGTGCCGCCCCACGTGGGCGTCCACGGCCGACAGCGGGTCGTCCAGCAGGTAGGTCTCGCGGTCCGAGTAGACGGCGCGGGCCAGGCTGATCCTCTGCCTCTGCCCGCCCGAGAGGTTGAGGCCCCGCTCCCCGATCTGCGGACGGGCAGCACGGGCGCGTGGCCGGAGCGGCACGGCCCGGCCTCGGCACCCGGGGAGGGGGAGCCGACGAGGCCCGAGGCCCCCGGAGCGCCGCCCCTGACCGGCCGGGACGGGCCCCTGGCGGCGGGCAGACGGGGATGACGGGACGGAAGTAGCCAGTGCGGACCCAGGCCAGCGGGGCCTCCGCGGAGGGGGCCGGCAGGTTCCGCATCTCAAACTCCCCGGATGGGGCCGCTCCGGGCAGAGGCTGGGGCCCCCTCTGTGCCAGGAGGCGCGACGCCTCTCGCCTCCCACTCACCTCCGTGGAGTCCCCGAAGGGCAGGATCTGCAGGTCGCGGGTGAGGGAGCAGCAGTGGAGCACCTGGAGGTACCTGCAAGGCGGGGGCGCTGAGGGCGCGGGCAGGCCCTGCCCCCCAGCTGTGGAGGGGACACCCACGCTCCCGGCTCGGCCGGCTGAGGAGACGTTAGAGAGAGGAGCTTGGATGGGAGAGAGACGCATCGATTGGTCGCCTCCTGCATGTGCCTGGGTGGGCCCGGGGTCAGACCCGGGCCCAGGCCCGTGCCCTCGACCTGGACCCGGCAGTCCCCGGGCTGGCGCTCTAGCCACTGAGCCACGCCAGCCAGGGCCCCTTGCCACGTGGCTTCTCTTAGGAGCGACCGCCATCGCAGTCCCTTGTGCGTTTATTCGGGAGCAGCCCATTCCCGTGCACGTGGGCGGCTGACCCCGTGTTAGGCCCCGCAGTGTCCCGTCACAGGCACACGTGGTCTACGTATGTCACGGTGCCCCCGGGGTGGACACGGGGCCTCCTAGGCCTCAGCTGCTGTGCCACATGTAGCATGGACACGCTTGTGCACGGGTCCCGTGCTCGGGTGAGATCCTGTGTGGCGTGCCCAGCAGCCCGGCCGGGCTTGTTCGGACAGATATTTCGAAAGGGCCTGGGCCCCGTCGGCGTGGGGCAGTGCGGTGACCAGACCAGGGCGACACCCCTGGGGGTGGGCACGGGGAGAAACCGGAGCCAGGGTGCCCAGGGCAGAGCCAGGGGCCAGTCCCCGCCGGACACCCAGCGCAGAGCTGGCCCCCGATGAGGAGCAGAGAGACGGAGGGAGGGAGCACCGTCGATGAGAAGGGGCGGCAGGAGGAGGGGCCTGGCTCCGGAGAGCCATCCCGGGATCGGCCGGCAGCTCAGCAGTGTTGGGCCCCGGCCGGGAGCTGGCCGGTGAGAACCCCTCCAGGCCAGGGCCCGCGGGGCTGTGACTGGGGGAGCGGCCGATTGCAAAACCAGGCAAAGTCAACCGAGGCCGAGGCCGGAAGCTGGGAGCCGGGCTGCGGCCTGCGTCCCCCCTCCCCGCCCACGCCGCACAGACCTCTCGTGGCCACCCCGGCCCCGGCAGCGAGAGCCCCCACCACCAGCCATGAACCCGGCTGATGCCTCCACATTGACAACCTCATCGGCCTCCTGACCTCCCTCTGGCTCTGAGGTCAGGAAGGAATCCACACAAACACCCGGGAAGCTAGCCCGGGGAGGTGGGGGGCCACACACTGAAGCAGGGAGCCCTGGGATTCTGACAGCCACTGGGTTCAGGCCCAGCCACGGCAAGCCCCATCCGCTCTGGCCACGCGGCTGAACCTCCTGGGGCTCGGCTGCCCGGCCTGGGCGTGGCCTCCCTGTCTGAGCCAGGAGGGCGGTGCTGGGGCCGCTCTCAGAGGGCCCCTCGCAGCGGGGTTTGGGGGGATGGGGGGACCCTCCCCTAACAGCCCCCGCCCCGTCCTCCCGCCCGCCCCGCGCTTACCGCGCCTGGTCCCACTGGCTCCCCATGAGGATGTTGTCCCGGACGCTGCCCGAGACCAGCCAGGCCTGCTGCGGCACGTAGGCCAGGCTGCCCCGCACGCCCACCGCGCCCTCCAGCAGGTGCATCTGCGGGCGAGAGTCAGCTCAGGGCGGCGCGGGGACGGCCTGGCCGCCCGCCTCGGACCCTGGGCTCAGCC